CCTTGTATCAAGGTCCTGACTGTGCTCCATGTAAAAATAAGAGGTCTTAAGGGTCAGGTGACCAGCCTGCTTCCACACATTTTCCAGTTATCATAGCTAAATCAATTAGGCTTCACCAGCTTTCAAGTTTTTGTTTTTGGTTTGTTTTTTTTGCCCGTACTAGGTACTGGGGTTTGAACTCAGGGCTTGCTTAGTTTTCTTGCTTCACTGACACTATACTGCTTGAGCCATGCTTTTTGCAGGTTATTTTGGAGATGAAATCTTACAGATTCCACAGAAGCTCAGATTTTTCTGCATGGGCTAGCTTTGAACTATGGTTCTTTGGATCCCAACCTCTTGAGTAGCTGGAATTATAGTCTAAGCCACTAACACCCATTTTTATTTATTTTTTTTAGCATCATGTTTTTATTTTCTTTTTGTTTTCCTATTGTGGGGCTTGGGTGCTATCTCTGAACTCTTTTTGCTCTACTACTTTGAATCACATCTCTATTTTTCATTTTCTGGTGGTTAATTGGAGACAAAGAGTCTCACAGACTTTCCTGCCTGGGCTGGCTTTGAACCACAATCCTCAGATCTCAGACTCCTGAATAGCTAGGATTACAGGTGTGAGCCATGGGAACCTGGCAGCATCATGTTTTTGTTTTTTTGTTTTTTAATCAATTAGTTGGACAAAGGGGTTTCAGTTAAGCAAGTTTATACATGCTTGCATGTCCGTACATACATTGAAGCTTGATCAGACTCACCCTCTCAGTTTTCTTATCTTCAGATTTTTGGTGAAAGTTAAGAAGCTGCTCTGTGTATGTGTGTGTGTGCACACGCGCGTGTGTACTACATGCAGCAATCCTGAGGCTTAAACGTGGCTTGGGTGCTGTCCCTTAGCTTTTTCCCTCAAGGCTGGTGCTCTGCCACTTGAATCACTGTTCCACTTCAGGCTTTTTGGTGGTTAACAGAGAAAAAGAATGTCATGGAAAAGTCCAGGCTGGCTTGAACTGAGATCTCAGATCTCAGCCTCCTGAGTAGCTAGCTAGGATTGCAGGGACAATTCTTTTCCCATTGTTTTCTCCCTTTACCTTCTTCTAGAGTCAACAGAATCTGTAATCATGACTTGGGTCAGAGGACCGGTACCTCAAAAAAAAAAAAGGAAGAAAGAAAAAAAGATGGGAAGGAGTGAAGTACATCCTATGTAATAGTTGTTTCTAAAAATTAGTGTGGTTGTGATTTACCATGGAGAGGTTCTAAATCTTAATGTAAAGGTCCCAGCCAGGCTGGCATTAGCCTCGGTCTCCTGCCCCCCAACCTCCCCCCACCCCTTAGGACCGTCTTGCCTTCTAACCCCCTTTCTTCCCTTTTACTAGTCAGCTCCTCACCAACACCTGCCTCCACACCCAGCCCCCTTCCCCATCCCTGCATACTCCCTCCTCCCCTTCCTCTTCCCTGCTCCCAGCCTCCCCGTCCCGCGCCCCAGTCCCAGAATCCCGCCCCTGGGTCACCGTGTCCACTTCCCCCTGCGCCAGGCTCCTCCCCTGGAGGGCGGGCTCCCGCTTCCTGCTGAGTCCCTGGGTGCAGAGCAGAGCCCCTGCCCAGGCCGTGGGACAAGGTAGGTGCGCGTCGCTGCGGACCACACAGCCTAGAGATCTGCATTCCTGGAACTCCCTCAGGGGTATGATTGGTGGCAGAGGACTTCACCCGATAATAGTAATGCATGCTTTGTTCTTGCAGAAAAGCGCTCGCCCTAACGCTACCTGTTCCAGGCAGCTGGTTCTCTACAGGAAGATCTATTCTGTAAGTGTTTAGCCAGGTGCCTTTATCACGTGGTTGAAATCACCTCGTATACAAACTGTGTTCTTACTTGAATTTAGTGTGGCATCAAGGTTGCCCTTCTCCATGTGGCAAACACTGTCTGTAACATTTCCCTACTGCTGGACATTCTGTTTGTGTATTTTTGATGAGCATGAAACTAGGAAGAAATCGTGTGGAAATCATTGGTAGCACTTCCTGGGGTGCGCCCAGTGAGAGGCACTGCGATATTCAGAGTCTGACATCCTAGATGCGGGCTGAATCTTGCCAAGAAAGACAGTACTGTTCACAGCCCAGGGCCTTGCCAACGTGGGCACTGCAGTTTCTGTTCTCTTGCTGATAGAAAAGGCCACCTGTTGTTTTCAGAGCTCATGTCAAATAAGGTGGTCAGAAATGAACTTGGAATGTAACTGGAACAGGCCAGAGACAGGGGGCCGTGCTTGGCATCTTAAAGGAGGTAGGCCGCTTCCGTGCCAATGCCATTTGGCTTCTAATTAATTCTGTCTAAAACCACACGTCCCCTGCCAAATCAAGTGTGAGGACTGGAGGAGACGCTGGTGGTAAGACAAATTAAGGATCAATATCGGTCTTGCCTGTTCCTTGGCAGGCATGAAAAAAACAGCAACTTCCTACAAAGTTTCACCAGTAACCTGTACACACCCAGGTCCTTTCTACCTTATCTAGAGTGCCTTGAACCTCTGCTGCTGTTGTACTCATGCATGCTTTCTTTCCCTTCCTTTCTTCCTTTCTTTCTTTTTCCTTCTTTCTTCCTTCCTTCCTTCCTTCCTTCCTTCCTTCCTTCCTTCCTTTCTTTCTTTCTTTCTTTCTCTCTTTCTCTCTCTTTCTCTCCCTCCCTCCCTCTCCCTCCCTCCCTCTCCCTCCCCCCCCTCTCTTTCTCTCTCTCTCTCTCTCTCTTTCTTTCTTTCTGTCGGTTATGGGGCTCCAAGGTGAGTGCTCTACCACTTGAGCCACTGAGCCACTTCTGGTTTTCTGAGTGGTTTATTGGAGATGAGAGTCTCACCAACTTGCCTGCCTGACCTGGCTTTGAACTGCAATCCTTAGATCTCAGCCTCCTGAGTAGCTAGGATTACAGGCTTGAGCCACCAGTGCCCAGCCATGATTTCTTCTTGTTCATCTCAAAACCTCCACGACTTCATTCCTAGATTTCTTTGCTTGTTACAATTCTGTCTGCATCAGCTCCTTTGCTGCTCCACATCTTGGTTCTTCTTTTTTTTTTCTGTTTCTTTTGGAGAACTCTCTTTTATGGGGGTAGCTGAGACTTCTGACTTACTCTGACTTATTCAAATCCTTGAAGTCTGAAGTCAGAAAAAACTACACTCCGACCGTCCTTCACCATCCATTTCTGACTTTTAGTGGGGAGGAAGATAGGTAAAATTTAGTTACATTCATAAAAGGTAAATTTTCAGCCAAAGATAAAATCATGCCTGTTATGCAGATAGAAAAGCAACCACGTGGATTTTGTTTTAGTGATTTGCAGCTTAGTGGTAGAGTGCTTGCCTAGCCTGCACAAAGCCCTGGGTTTGATTCCTCAGTACCATATAACAGAAAAAGCTGGAAGTGGCGCTGTGGCTCAAGTGGTAGAGCACTAGCCTTGAGCAAAAGAAGCTCAGGGACGGTGCCCAGGCCCTGAGTTCAAGCCCCAGGACTGCCCCCCCCCCCCCAAAAGTCAATAAGTGCAATTTGATAAACTCTAAAGGAATGCCCTGGGGGGGCACACATAGGACATTGAGGAGTCCCTGGGAACATGCAGATCCCTCCCACAGCACAGACCCCAGAGACTCGGGGTTTGGAATTGTACTGAGGGTCAGGGCCCAGGGGAGGCGGAGCCGGAGGCGGGTGGGGGGAGGGTGGACTGCAGGAGAGCGCCTGTGACCACTCACTGTGTTCCCTCTTGCGTGGTGAGCCACATGATTGATGGGGAAGCCATGTGGATCGCACTGCACATGCCCTGCCTGGCACAGGAGGAGAAAAGTCCCATGACTTACGATGAAACACCCTGCTTTAAAAAGTGGAAAAGTGTCCATCAGCCATGGCTCACCCCCTGGGCCTTCTGTGCCGAGCCCCTCTCATGATGTCTTTGCAGTTCTTTGTAAGCGGGGGTTGGTAGAGTGTTGCAACTGTAAATTCTGCCACATCTCCCAGAACCCTTCCTCTCCAGGAAGGGTACTTTGCCTCCATTTGCATCTCATTCCACATTCCTTTGCAGCATACGAATTTGTGTTCTTGTGACTTTTCTTTCTAGCTAGTTAGCATGTCTGCTTTTTTCTCTCCTATAATCCTATTAAAATAAAATTCTTAGTGTGCAGTAACTTTTAGGTCTGTAGGATAGTGGTGGCTTTTTTCCCCCGCTGAAAATGATTTTGTAGTAACTATGTCATGGGGAAAAGCAAAAATCCCCAAGTACAAGATGTATTTATTGTGTAGTTAGTTAGTCAAAGGTCAAAGATTTGTTCTCTAACCCTTGTTGTGGCCCCCAGGAAGGTTGGTCGATAGGAGTGCCATCCACCCTTCCCAAAGTGAACCTGGCCCCTAGATACAAGCTTGGCTCAGCAGCTAGGCCTGCAGGAATGGTCTGGGCAGGCGTCCAGCTTTCCACATGTGGCATTCCCGGGCCTCTGCTGGACACGACCTCTTTCTGCAGGAGAATAATCTTACTTCCCATGACATACTAAAGCTTGCTTTGGAATGTCCAAAGCTCTCTGCGGGACCTAAGTTCTTACAGTACAACCCAGGTAAGAAAGAAATCAGCTGCTGAAATTGCTTCTTAGCAAATGGTTGTGCAGTGTGGCATAAAATTGACTGCTGTTGCCAGGTACTAGTTGCTCATGCTGGAATCCTAGCTACTCAGGAGGCTGCGATCTGAGAGGATTGTGGCTTGAAGCCAACCCAGGCAGGATGAGAATCTTAGCTGGAAGTAGAGTTGTAGCTCTAGTGCTAGAGTGCTAGTCTTGAGCAAAAACAGCACAAGGACAGTGCCAGGCCCTGAGTTCAAGCCCCAGGACTGATACCAAAAACAAAACAAAACAACAACAAACTCCCAAAGCCCCCAAAACAGCAAATCAAGAATGTTTTTCTCTCTCTAGCCCACCATCAGGACCGCCAATGGCTAACGAGGCTCAGCCCTGTCCATGTGACATTGGCCACAGGCTGGAGTATGGGGGCCTGGGCCGTGAAGTCCAGGTGGGCCACATCCAGGCCTATGTCACCAGGTCCCCTGTCGACGCAGGCAAGGCTGTGGTTATCATTCAAGATATATTTGGCTGGAAGCTGCCCAACACCAGGTATATGGCTGACATGATCGCAGGAAATGGATACACGTACGTATGGATTTCTGTTCCTTCCCTTAAACCCAAGGGAATTTCTGTGATTCATTTTGTTCCCTTCAGAAAGGCAAAACTGGAAACCAAAACCAACCTATTTTTTTCTCACTGTGATGAGGGAAATGGTAATGAACTTAGTTCCTTCCTTCCTTCCTTCCTTCCTTCCTTCCTTCCTTCCTTCCTTCCTTCCTTCCTTCCTTCCTTCCTTCCTTCCTTCCTTCCTTCCTTCCTTCTTCCCTCCCTCCCTCCCTCCCTCCCTCCCTCCCTCTGTTCCTCCCCTCCCATCACCTCCCCTCCTTCCCTCCCTCTTCTCCTTCCCTCCCCTTCCCCCTTTCCTTCCTTCTTTCTTTCCAGCTGGTTCTGGGGCTAGTTCTTAGGTCCTGAGTGTTGTCCCTGAGGTTTTCCACTCAAGGCTGATATTCTACACTTGAGCCACAGCTCCACTTCAGGCTTTTTGGAGATAAGAGTCTTAAAGAGTTTCTTGCCTGGGCTGGCTTCAAACCATGATCCTCAGATCTCAGCCTCCTAAATAGCTAGGCTTACAGGCGTGAGCCCTGGCAACTGACCAGTGCTGACCCGGGGTTTGAACTCAGGTCCTAGGCACTGCCCCTGTGCTGTTTTTTTGCTCAAGGCTAGTGTTCTACCACTTTGAGTCAGCTTTTTGGTGGTTAATTGAAGATTTTCATGGACTTTCCTGCTCAGGGTTGGCTTGAACAGAGATCCTCAGACCTCAGCCTCTTCAGTAGCTTGGATTACAGGTGTGAGCTACCAGTGCCCAGCTTTTTACTTCGTTTTTACATAGTCTTCCTTTTCTGTGGGCTCACTGGACTGCAGTCCTCATGGCCACACTTGCCGTGTGACTACGATGGCAGGCCCATGCCATCGTTGTTTGCAATAAAGAGTCGTGAACTTTTTGTCTGGGCTGGCCTCTAGTCATGATCCGTCTGATCTCAGCCTTCTGAATAACTAGGATTATAGGGGTGAGCCTCTGGGCCCTGCTGCAATTGGGAACTTATTAAATACTCATTTGATGGACCAAGTACTCCCATCTGACCCTGGGCTTCAGATCCTCCTGAGGTGCCTGGCCCTGGAGTCCTGTGAGATGCAGACTCCTTCCCAACACGGGCCTTGCCCAGTTCCAGGCCAGCCTGCAGAGCACCAGCGCTGAAATGCACTCAGGACTTGGCTTTTGAAGCCAGCCTCTGGGCAGATTTCTGTGTGCACAGAAGGGTCTCCTCAGGTCAGCTAGCCTAAAGCCCCCTGTCACAGCCCTGTCATGGAGGCCCAGGGGTGGCACAGCGGGCGCTTGCTTGTCACCCGAACTCTGTACCTCTGCCCCAGTGGCCGTGGCCCCGGTGCTGGAGCCTGTCCCTGCTCACCTCTCCTCTGTCCATTGAGAAAGACTCCAGGAGGAACTTCCTCTCCAGCCTCCAGAAGCAAAATCCCATGGGCCCTGGGCAGGTGTACTTCCCCGTTTCCTAAGAGAAGCCCCCCCTGCCCCCCCCTCGAACTCCCCCCCTTCCTGGGCAGCCCTACCTCATTTTCCCAAAAAGAGAAACTGGTTTAACTCCTGCAAGACAATGTAGGCCCAGCGTCTCAAGATGCGTCTCCTGGCGTCCCAGGGCCCCTCCTGGGTGGAGGCCACAGCTGGTGGGGGAGCCACCGCCCTCCCCCAGGGGTGCCCGAAAGGCTGAAGAGCGCTTGACGGGATGGGGGCCGTGTGGTTATCCCTGAGGGAGAGGACCAAGGAGCAAAGAGCCAGTGGTGGGCCTGTGTGGGTCCACACTCCCTCAACACGACAGAATGGGGGCGCTGTGCCCAACAAAGCTGTTCACCAGACCTAGAGGGAAGGTGAGGCTGGGAGCCGTTGAGTGACGTGGTAGGGTTACCTTGCAATGGGGATGGGAAGGAGAAATGGAGAGAGCAAGGGAAGGGGCGGCATTGTCCAGAAAGCGATGGATCTTTACCTGACCTATGTGACGCAACCCCTCTGTGCATCCCTTTTTAAGGAAAATAAAAACCGTTTTTAAAAAATGGTTATCTTGCAGTCCGTGGTGGTGCTGAGACTTGAACTTGGGTTTTTGGAGCGATGTTGGTATCATCCCTGCTAGGTTGATTTGTGGGGGAATTCTGTGGACTCAGGCCTGGCTGGGTGGATTCTTCTAGAATCTTCTGTGGCAGGAAGCTGCCTTTGGCAGCATGGGCAAGGGCTTGGGATAATGGCTTGGTCTTGGCTGGCATTCCTCCCAGAAGGCTCTGGGGGGAAGGCCGGGGTCCCCACCCCTGACGGTGCAGCTCTGAGGGGGCTAGGCAGGCGCTCACACCACCTGGATCCAGGGGCCACACTTCTCCTGGGGAACCCTGTCCCCCCCAGGGCTGGGCTGTGCACGGCCATTGTGAAATCCACGAGACCTGCTCTGCACCAGCCAGGCGCCCCTCTGCCGCTCTCGTGACCCTTGCCCCCCCCCCCCCCCCCCCCCCCCCCCCCCCCCCCCCGCCAGAGCCCCTCAACTGCCCCCCAGCGTGTGGCGTGCCCCACCCAACACGGAATGTCTGCTTTCCACAGGACCCTCGTTCCGGACTTCTTCGTGGGTCAGGAGCCCTGGAGCCCCTCTGGCGACTGGTCCACGTTCCCCGAGTGGCTGAAAACGAGAAATGCCAGGCATGTCAACAGGTAAGTCGTGGGTGGACGCGGCTGTGGGTGGCTCAGCCCAAGGAGGAAAGAGGCTGGAAGGGCGGAGGCGGGGAGGCCTGAGGATCTAGGGCTGCTGCCCAGATCTGTGTTTTGGAAGAGAGCGCGTGGGGCTGCAGCTCTCCACGTGGTGGGAGGAGAGCTGGACCTGCTGGGACACCTTGGGCCATGCAGCACTGGATAAGAGTCAGACAACTTCACACGAAATGTGAGACAGCCCTATTACGGGCAGCACAGCCATTGCAGGGGGCTCACAAAATTACCCTGCATCTTTATTATTTCAGTGTGTGTGTGTGTGTGTGAGAGAGAGAGAGAGAGAGACAGACAGATTACACATTTGAGGCCGTCTTGCTGTGAAGTCCGGGCTGACCTCTGTCTGGAGTGCTGGGTGGACAGGCATGCCCCGCCAAGCCTGGCTGACCCTGGAGTCTTAAGCGCCTTTTCTTTCTGTTCTAGAGAGTTTGATGCTGCCCTGAAGTTCCTGAAAGACCAGTGTCATGCCCAGAAGATTGGCGTGGTGGGGTTCTGCTGGGGCGGAGTCGCTGTGCACCACGTCATGGCCACATACCCCGAAGTCAGGGCTGGGGTGTCACTCTATGGTAAGGCAGTGGGGTGCATTTTCACTCAGCGAGACCCCGGGGAAGTGCAGTGAGAGGAAGTGCAGGCCCATTCCACACAGAGCCACACAAGCTGGAGAGTGAGCGGGCAGACAGCGTAGCGAACCTGACTTACAGGATCTGCAGGTGCAGGCAGAGGTGTGCGGCTGGGTGGTAGAGCACTGGCCTGGCACCCCTGGGGCCTCGAGTTCCATCCCCAGTGCTGCCAAAGAAGTAAAGTAAAAGATACATAACTTAACACAAGACCACAGAGAGAGGCAGAAGTTACACCAGGCGGTCACTGGCGGATGTCCGGGCAGGGCTCGGATCCCAGTAGTGGTTGGTCAGGTCACCCACCCTGAGTTCTCCATGTCTTTAGTTAGGACAACGGAAATAGTATTTCTTCCTGTGAGGACAATACCAATTTGTGTGTGTGTGTGTGTGTGTGTGTGTGTGTGTGTGTGTGCGTGCGCGTGCATGCGCATGCACATGCGTGTGCAAGTCCTGGGGCTCCAATGCAGGGCCTGTATACTTTCCTTAGCTTTTTTTTTTTTTTTGCTCAGGGCTGGTGCTCTACCACTTGAGCCACAGGTCCACTTCTGGTTTGGGGAGGCTAATTGGAGATAAAGATGAGTCTCAAGTAATTTCCTGCCTAGGTTGGCTTTGAGCCTTGATCCTCAGATCCCAGCCACCTGAGTGGCTAGGATTTAGTCGTGAGCCACCAGCACCAAGCCCAAGCAATATTTTTGTGAGCAACATAAAAAAGGAGAAAGCATTTTTGGATTTCTCTCAATAATTTGCATGCATGTGTGCATGCGTGTGCATGCCTGAACACATTCATAGTGCAAAGAAAAGGAAAACCAGTTACGCTATGAAACAGGAGTGTTAGAGTGTACCCAGAAATGACATACAGTAGTTAAACACTTATAGTTATTCTTACTTGTCTTAATAATTCCTGATGGTGGTATTTTCATTTGCTTTTAGCTTAAAAGAAAGCCTGTAAATATTTACATAAAATGAAACAAATTCAATAGATAGTTGCTATGGTCAATGCCTTTCTAGCTCAAAGGTGGCTTTGTATGAATTTACAAGAGAGCCTGAGTAGGTGTCTCACTGTTGCCATCTGGTGGTGGCTATTATGCAGCATGCACATTTAAGGGCCTGGCAGAGCTTATGCTCAGGGGATGTCCACCCACCAAAAAGCCACGACTTTGCTTATTATTGTTGTTGTTGTTGTTTTTTGTTGGTTTTACAGGAGTGAGGCAGGAAGTGTGGTCATCTTTTTTTTGTTTTTGTTTCCTGTTTAACTTCTCTGTATAGTGGCTGGAAGTGGGAAGAAGTAGGAAAAAAAGTAATTCTCTCCCTCCCTCCCTCCCTCCTTTAAAATTTTTTATCCTATTTTATTTTTGCTGGTCCTAGGGCTTGAACTCGGCCTGGGCATTGTCCTTGAGCTTTCTCACTCAAAGCTAGTACTCTATCACTTGACCAACAATTCCATTCTGGCTTTTTTGTAGTTAATTGGAAATAAGAGTCTCATGGACTTTGCTGCCCAACCTGGCTTTGAACCACGATCCTCAGATTTCAGCCTCCTAAGTAGCTAGGATTACAGGCGTGAGCCACCAACACCTAGCAAAAAGTTATGTTTTTTTTTCTACTTATCTGAACATAGTAGCTTATTACAATATATTCAGTTATTTTCCCAGAAGTGGGTATTTTCCGGTTGTTCAGAACCCCTGTGTTGGGCAGAGCATGCTTTTTGCTGGCCTTTAAAATTCCAAGATAAGAAGCCAACACTTAACGTTTGCAAAATGGCTCCCCTTCAAGCAGCTGCATGCTTGTCTGATTTTTTTATTTTTTTTTTTATTTTTGTCGGTCGTGGGGCCTGAACTCTGGCCTGGGCACTGTCCCTAAGCTCTTCAGCTCAAGGATAGTGCTCTTCCACTTTGAGCCCCAGTGCCACTTCTGGTTTTCTGGTGGTTTATTGGAGATAAGAGTCTCACAGACTTTCCTGACCAGGCTGGCTTTGAACCATGATTCTCAGATCTCAGCCTCCTGAGAGTAGCTAGGATTACAGGCATGAGCCACAGGTGCCTGGCTATGAAGCCACAAGGTTATCTGAGTGCTCCCTGGTCTTACAGCCAAGCATTCTGCAGTGTCCAACCCTAATTACTTAATGGCCTGATTTCCAGTGAGTGAGATGAGCAGTGGGATGAGCTAAGTCAGATGGTGTGTATGTGTGTGTGTTTGTAGGTGCCCATACCAGAGTTTGAGCTCAGAGCCTTAAGATTACTTGGCTGGTATTCTACCACTTAAGCCATGCCTCAGCCTTGCACCTTGAGTTAGTTGGAGATGGAATCTCTCAAACTTTTCTGCCCAGGCTGGCTTTGAACCGTGATCCTCTGGATTTCAGCCTCTAGAGTAGATAAAACTACAAGTATGAGCCACTGACACCCAGTGTTTTTTGCTCCTCTAATTTCATAGGCCAGGCCTCTAGTAAAATTGCTAAAAAAGCCCTCAAAGCACATATTTTGAGAAACCCATCCAAATCCAGTCAGTTTTGTGGCTTGACAGAAAATCACACTTGCTCACCCTTGAATGCACATTTTCAGGAATTGTCAGAGATTCTGAAGATGTTTACAACTTAAAGAACCCCACGCTGTTCATCTTTGCAGAAAATGACGCTGTGATTCCACTAGAGCAAGTAGGTTGCCTCTTCGCTCTTCTCAGCTGTATAAATACTGCAACTTACCCCTTGGCGTGCAGTCCCGAGGTTCACGTACTGTTTTCGTGTTGACATTTTGAAAATGGGATTTAGAGTAGAATTGTAACCCCTAAAATATACCTAGTTAGCATGAGATCTGAAGAAGTGTTCTCGGCCTGGCCACTGGGCCAGGAAACAGCCTCTGCCTCACCTCCAGCCAGCCACGAGCTTTCCATGTTATCTGGAAGATGGATTGCCAAGTCCAGTGAGTCTGATTTGAAGGCCGTCATGGGCTGGGGTATAGTTCGGTGGTAGAGCGCTCATCCTTGCTTAGCACCACCAAGGTCCTGTGTGGCATCCCCAGAACTGGAAGCCAGAGGGATGGCCAGTGGCTGACACGCTGTTCTTAGTGACTTGGTGTGAGTGCACACATGGATTGACATGGAGAGTCGCCATCTTGACAGGGCTTGCTTATGGCTGTTCAGTTTGTTTCCAGAGCTAGTGATAGGCAGTCAGCCCCTCAGTCATGAGGGAAACAAGCAATGTCTGTAGTGTGCGATTGCTAAGCCAGGATGGCCAGTACCTCAGGATTATTACTGGATTTTTTTTTTTTCCCCCAGTCCTGGGGCTTGAACTCAGGGCCTGGGCACTGTCCCTGAGCTTTATTTGCTCAAGGTTAGCACTCTACCACTTGAGCCACAGCACCACTTCTGGCTTTTTCTGTGTATGTGGTACTGAGGAATAGAACCCAGGGCTTCATGCATGCTTGGCAAGCACTCTACCACGAAGCCTGTGTTCTTTTCTGGAGTTGTTAGTGTTGAACACACACCTTACATGTGCAGTTAAGTAAGTGCTCTGCTACCACACCCATCCTACTGCATGAGGTACATTGATATGTTTGTAGAACTGAACTCAACTCAGGGACTTGTGGTTCTAGGTGGGTGTCTAGCGCTTGAGTCATACAGCAGCCCCTACAGATGTTTTGTCTGTTGTGGGGCTTGAACTCTTCAGAGCTTGGGCACTGTCCCTAAGCTTTGTGCTCAAGGCTAGTGCTCTACCACTTGGAGCAACAGCTCCACTTCCTGCCTGGGATGGCTTCAAACTACATCCTCAGATCTCAAGCCTCCTGAGTAGCTAGGATTACAGGCCTAAGCCACCAGCATCTCACTACAAATTTGCTTTTGATCTTACAATATTTCAGTTCATGATTTATTAAGTTTAGACCCCATCATAAAAAACAACTTTAATTGCTGTTACACACACACAATTTTTTTTTTGGCAGTACTAGGGTTTGAATTCAAGGTTTCGTGCTTGCTAGGTAGGTAGGCATTCTACTGCTGAACCATACCTCCAGCACTGGTTATTTTTGAGATAGGGTCATAGGTCTGTCCAGTCATGTGCCTGTTCCATGATCCTCCTATTTTTCACTTATTACCTGTTGCTGGGATGATGGGTGCACATCACCATTTGCTTAACTTCATCCACTGAGATGAGATCTCATAACCTTTCTGCCTGGACTGTGATCTCTCCTGAACTCAGTTTCCCATGTGGCTAGGATAACCGGTATCTGCCCAGACTTATAATACTTCATACAAAAATCTTTTGTCAGAGATAAGAACTGTGTTAATTATGAATGCAAAGTATTGGGGAGCTTGCATTGATCTTACATCTCTTGTGAATATTTACTGAAGAATTAGAGAATGGTAATATTTTGCAAGGGTTAACATGCCATCGGTACAATGTCTTTTGCATAACAGGTCTCTTTGCTGACCCAGAAGTTGAAAGAACACTGCAAAGTTGAATATCAGATTAAAACATTTTCTGGGCAAACTCATGGCTTCGTGCATCGGAAGAAAGAAGATTGCTTACCTGCTGACAAACCCTACATTGATGAGGCCCGAAGGAATTTAATTGAGTGGCTGAACAAGTATGTTTAGCAGTGACTGGTGATCAAGCACAAGCTTGTGCAAAGGAGGTGTATTAAAAAGTTTGCCATACAGTCATTTTGGATCATTTTTCTTTTACCTTACATAGTTTTGGGATTCTGAAACTTCTTTCATATTCCGTAGAAAGCACATACGCAGTAGAAAATGTTAATATAGAGTAATACTTTTTTGGTGTGTGAGCATTTATTGAGCAAAGAATTCAGCATATAAAGAAAAGAGAGAAAGAAGATAAAGGTTCCTTAGAAACCCTTCAAGGGAAGAGAAGTAATTGCCTAGGTAAGATAGGAGAAAGCACACAATGTAATGAGTTTAGTACCTGAAATTTCGGATGCTCAGAAATGCAGCCTTCCTCCACCTTCCTTCTTAGGGCACTTACTCAGTTCTAACAAAAAATTCCCAACATCTATTTAAGGAAATAACAGTAGATCTAAGAAATATGGTTGAAAAATCCTGTATCAATTTTTCACTATCAGAAGCTGCCACTTTCACATACAAATCAACAGTAAACTTCAGATCAAAGTTGAAGGTATTCTTACATAAGAAAAAACAAAACAGATCACTACTTGAAGATGTGATAGATTAGGCCCTCATCCGTAGGGAAGAACTTGGGGCTCTTCAGTTATCAGCTGAAAGCTCAGGTATGGTGTTTCCAGTCTGTGCTGCATACCTTAAAACTACTACTGTGAGCTGGTGCCTGAGCCACCGAACTACTCAGGTGGCTGAGATCTGAGGATCATACTTTGAGGATAGCAGGTAGGAAAGTCCATGAGAATTTTCAGTTCATCAGCAAAAAGCCAGAAGTGGAGGTATGGCTCAATTGGTAGAGGTGGTAGAAGTGGAGGTGTGGCTCAAACCTGAAGTGAAAAAGCCCAGGGGGCCCCTTGGCCCTGAACTCAAGGACACCAAATAACGAAAAGTGACTAGTGCTGCAAAGCTGCACAGACACGAAGGGTAAACTGGGGTAGGTTAAAACCATACTTTGTGGGGCTGGGAAAGTGGCTCAGTGGTAGGGTGCTTGCCTTGCATGCATGAGGCCCTAGGTTGGATTTCTCTTGGCACCATATGAGCAGAAAAAGCTGGAAGTGGCACTATAGTTCAAATGGTAGAGTGCTTGCTTTGAGCTGAAGAACTGAAGGACAGCGCCCAGGCCCGAGTTCAGGCCCCACGACTGACAAAAAAACCAAAAAACTTACTTTGTAGACATTGATCTTTGTGTTGAGATCTGAAATTCTCACCTTTATATGTTGTAATATGAAAAGTTAAATTTAAGTTTCCATTCACTTTGTTTCAAGCTAATAAACTGTTTGAAACTTTTTCATTTGTAGCTTTTTCCTTAAGCTAACAAAACCATGAGCGGCAGTTACCACCTTTCTGTCTCCAGGGCTTTGGGTCCTAGTGTGTGCTGCTTGCTTTCCGTCAGCAGGATGGGGGGAGGGGAGGGTGAGGTCCTGTGGTCTCTCATAATGGTGGCTGTAAACTCCAGCCCTGTCCAAATGGAGCTTTGGATGTGGTCATGGATGTTCCTCTGGCTTTCACAGGATGCTTACTGACTCGAAAAGAGGCTGTTTCCCAGGCTGACTTTGACCTCTGCTTCCAGTGACCCTTCTGCCTTGATTCCCAGGTAGCTGGGACTATAGGTACATACTACTGCACCCAGCACACTTCATCTTGGACAGCTTAATGCATGAAGGTGATACCAAGATAGGGTCCAATCAGCTGCTTGGTGTCTGGTTTACCCCACCAAGATGGCCCCTATGGCTTCCCCTCTAGGACAGCCCTGATCTGGAGGCAACTCAACTGAACAGTGTTTTCTTACAGGCCAGGCAAGAGCAGCAGGCCTCACAGGGTCAAGTGGAAGTGGTGAACAGGAGCCTTGACTGAGCTGGCCTGTAACGGAGGGCTTGGTGCACGCGGGCCTCTGTTGTCCGGGGTCACCATGGTAGGCTTCACTGCCACAGGCAATTGCTTGTGGTTGTGCAAGGTCCAAATATGGATCCACAATCTTGAGGAACTGAGTGGAGATGCTGTCAAAGGTGACTAAGCATGGCTTCAAGCGAAATGCTGGATTCAGAGCAGAGAGAGGGGACACTCTGTGTTCAGGGATTTAGTAACTTGACTTTCCTGGCCCTTTTTTTACCAGGTGGGGACGAGGAGCAGCCTGTAAAGGAAGGGCCACGCACCAGGCTGCTCAGCGAACATTTAGCATGGGTCTTTACACCCACCAGGGCTGCTGTGAATTCCAGCCAGGCCCAGTGCAAGCCCACACCTTTCCTGTCCTACTGCCAGGCAGGCCGGCATCTGTGCCTGGAGGGGGGAAACAAGGTCAGGAGAGCTGACTAGGCAGGTCTGACTGGATTCTGAACGCGTAGTGGCTGCACTCACAGGCGGACCAGAATGTAGAGGCGCAAATGGCACTTTCCTAAACGTATGGTCACATGAACAAACTACATTTAGGAAGAAAACTGACAAGTATTTCTGAATCCACAAGATTCAGCAAAGCACTCAACGACGTTACACACACAGAAAACACAAGGACGTGGTAGTTGTAAGTGGCTGTGTCCAGCTTCACAGCCCTCAATGTCACTTAAGCCAATTTAAGGGTTGTTCCTAATTCTAGGGGTCTGACTGGTCTGCATGGCATGTAACTGCCTTTGCCACCATGATTTTCTGGAAGAACCATTCTTTTAGAAAAGTCCAGGGAACCACACACAGCATGTAGGGGCAGAATACGGTAACAGCACTGGAACGCTGCTAGACTGCTCAGAACAAACCTGTTCTACAACTTACTAGAGAGATGCCAGCAGATGATGGAAAGCTGTGTGCGGTGTGGACAGGAAGTTTACCTACTCAGACTAAGTGGTCCTCCCTGTACCACGGCCCTGAGAGGGTCTAGGACCAATATGGCTGGTGCTACGCAGGAAGCAGCAGTACCACCAGTCCAGCTGTACAAAAAGCCACTTCTTCCCCCTAGTTCCGAAGAGTTCTCCCTTATTTTTTGTACAATGAACTCCAACCTCCACCTCCTTTGTCCTCTTATCAAGAAAACAACGGTGTTGAAATTGTGCTCTGAGCACCTGCTGGGGCAGGGCTTTGCCCACCAAGCCAGGGAACCGCCGTTAACGACCCGTCTCACCATCCCCTTTGCTTAACTCTCACTTCACCCTGCCACACACTGCGGTTCTCCCAGCACAGTACCAACAGGTGTGTTCGATTAGCCTAGTGATCATACTTACTGTCTATGACTCACCTCTGTAAGCAAAGGACCCACCATTCTGACGGGCAGAGAAGCATTCCTCCCCATGCTGAAGTCAATCCCAAGAACATTTAAGCTGCTGAAACTGTACCTACTTTACACTGAAAAAAACCTCGAATCCTTCAATTAAGGCAGCATTTAATTAATCTTACAATAAGTGTTTCTTGAAGACAAAGGTTGTTCCAACAGATCTCTTTATAGTGAATACAAAATCCAGGGACACTATGTCTGCGCTTACCCAGCTCTGAACAAGTGAAACCAAGTGAAAGGCGAGCAGCTGTCTCGTGAGCCCTCACCAGTGTCTGAGAAAGGACGTGATAAATAACTGCAGAGGCACCCAGGAGACCTGTTTATTTAATCACACCAGTGGATCTTTCTACTACATGTCTACCTTTTTTCTTTATTCTTCAGATTCTCCAGGCTTGCGAATGTCATCAATCTTCAAAATCATTCTGACCATTTGTGTTGCAAGAGATATCTGTTGCTTTTTGCCAATTAAGGTTTCTATGACATGCTGCTGTCTCATATCTGAAAAATACAAGCAAAGGAGTTAATCTTAGCACACACACTTGCTATCAACAAACAGCTTCAACGTAAGGATCACATAGGTTAAGAAGTATGGGTGGGCATGGCGGTGTAGGCCTGCAAGGCCTGCAGCCCCAGTTACAAGGGAAGCTGAGGCAACAAGGTTGCAAGGACTCCCAACCTGCGAAGGTGCAGAAATGCAAAATATTCCTTAGAAATGCTAATTCCCAGGCTGGGAATGTGGTTTAGTGGTAGAGTGCTTGCCTAGCATGCATGAGGCCCTGGGTTCAATTCCTCAGGACCCACATACACAGAAAAAAACTGGAAGTGGCGCTGTGGGTTAAGTGGTAGAGTGCTAGCCTTGAGCACTGTAAAAGCAGCTCAAGGACAGTGCCTAAGCCCTGAATTCAAGCCCCAGAACTGGCAAAAAAAAAAAAAAAAAAAAAAAAAAAAAGATGCTAATACCCAGAGACTTTCTATTCAGAGACATCAAATGCATGTTTGGTGTGTTTTATTATTACAATCCTTGAGACCTATCCGAGCATGAAGTCAGAACATACACCCACTTCTGTGTGGGAACTGTCAAATCCTGTGCTTGATAATGACTCACAGGAATGCAGAAATGGCTTCCCGCATACAGGAATCCCAGGGCCACATTTTCAAGAAACTAAAAGGCTCCCCGCACCCCAAACAAATGACAAAGCTGGTTGTCCTTCACAACAGTCAGTGCCACCAGCCATCATCTTTGGGATTCAGACATCAGAAGGTTATGTCTGCTTTCTTTTTTTTTTTTTTTTTTTGTTTGTTTGTTTGTTTTTTTTTTTTTTTTGCCGGTTGTGGGAGCCTGAACTCTGGGCCTGGGCGCTGTCCCTCAGCTCTTCAGCTCAAGGCTAGTGCTCTACCACTTGAGCCATAGCGCCACTTCTGGCTTTTTCTGCTTATGTGGTGCTGAGGAATCGAACCCAGGGCGTCAGGCATGCAAGGCAAACGCTCTACCACTGAGCCACCTTCCCAGCCCAGCCATCATCTTTGGGATATCACCATATAGTATGCATAAACTCAACGGTCCAACTCACAGTCTGTATGACATCAGAACCACTTCGATAGAGGGTTGTGTTCCACAGGAATTAGAACACTATAACATTTCTTTGGAAACACTGCAGTTACGCTTCTATCGAACTGAGTTTTATGTTGTTACAACGGATCATTCCTTAGGTAATCAACTTAAACCTTCCACATCCCAGGACCTGACTACCCAGTGTGTTTAGGGATCTGAAGAGATGAAAACCCACTGTGTATTATGCTATACATCCACACAGCACACAAATACTAAATGTAAAAATACAAATATACACGTCACACAAAGAGCAGGACAGTCCCTCACCGTGTGTCCCCTTGTGCAAGCAGTCGATCCCAAGCGCAGGGTTGTTCTCCTTGACGTGTCTGGCTCGGACTTCAGTCATGGTCTGGATGGGATTCATGCCGCTGTTTTCGGAAAGGGCCATGGGGATGACCTCCAATGCATCTGCGAAAGCTCTCATGGCGTACTGCTCCAAGGTTGGGCACTGGCAAGGCACAGGGGCGGTGAATACATGTGGCAAAACCAAACCTACTATACGTAAGCCTAACTATACTACAAAGTGAAAAACTCATGAAGAATTTAAGAATAAGGTCTCCTGAACAGTGTGTGTGTGTCTGTGTTTGTGTGTGATGGCAGAGGCTTGATCTTTAAGACCTCTTGTTCTTCAAGCTGGTGCTCTACCACTGTGAACCAGAGTGCCACTTTCAGTTTTTGCATGGCTAGTTGAAGTCTCACAGGCACTCTTCTGCCCTAGCTGGCTTTGAACCGCAATCCTCAGATCTCAGCCTCCTGAACAGCTAGGATTACAGGTGTGAGTCACCAGTGCCCAGCAGGCCGCTTGTTCTTGCTTGGCTTTTTCACTTGTAACTGGTACCTCTAAACATTTGAATCATAGCACCAGTCTGACATTTTACTGGTTAATTGGAGATGCAGTCTCGGAGTTTTCTACCCATGCCTGCTTAAGCCATACTTTTCTGATCTCAGCCTCCTGAGTAACTAAAAGGACAGGAGCTGCTGGCATGCATATCCACCCCCCCCCCCCCCCCCGTGCCAGTCTTGGAGCTTGAGACCAGGGCCTGGGTGCTGTCCCTAAGCTTTTGTGGACAAGGCTAGTGATGTTCTAGCACTTTAAGCCACAGCTCTACTTTCAGCGGTTTGGAAGTTAATTGGCGATTAAGAATCTCAGACTTTCCTGCCTAGGCTGGCTTTGAACTGTGATCCTTCAGAGCTCAGCCTCCTGAGTAGCTAAGATTATAAGTGTGAGCCATTAGCAGCACCTAGCTTGCTTGAGTCTTCTGAACACATAAGAAGATCAAGCAATCATTCACTACACAATAAAGATATAGAAGACATAAATACATGTTTGAGAGAGGTCTTATCTCCATTGCTTACTTTTTAAATCATTCCATTAATCTGGAATGGCTGAAAATGGCCAAGGAATACTAACTTACAGTGACCTGAATAAGGTATAGCATGAGAATAAATTTAGGTTAAAATCCATTACATATGACTCAGGCTGCTTTTGTTCATTCAGTTAGCAGTTGTGGTATTCCACAAGCTAGAAGCGCCTAAGTCTTTTACCTTGTCTGCTTCTTGGCTGACTGCCAAAGCACAGGAGATTTCTGCAGCACCTCCCCCATATACCACCCGGTTATCACGGATGAGGTTCCGGATGACACACAAAGCATCGTGAAGAGACCGTTTTGCTTCCTCAATGATCTGGGGAGAAATTCTATGTAAATTAGTGTGGTCAAGACCATTCGCCACAGAGCCAAGTATCTGCTATGTCTGGGTTAGGCTAAGTGCTGACCAAGCCCAGCAATATTCTCAAGGGTCCATCTTTTTAACCATCGTGGTTAAAAACAAATGGAAAGGGTAGGTTATCCCAATCTCTATCATACCTTTCCTTCTCATAACATAGTTAGAAAAAGATTCTTACAACAATCTACATTTATCACAATATGCTAAAAATCTCATTAGCATTTATTTCGATTTTCTAAGTGACAGCAGGAAAGCAGCTTGGCATCTTAGTGGTAGTTAGTAATTTTTTTTCTTTGCAGGGCTACAGACTGAACCCCGGGCCTGTGATGCTGGACCACTGTACTGCCACTGAACTACAACCCTAAGCCTCTGGTTTCAGAGACAGCACCTCACTATGGAGCCCAGGCTGGCCTTGAACTCTTTACAGGCAATTATCACCATGCTCAGCTAGTCTTCTATAACTTTACCCCATGATACACCATTGCTTCTTTGAGAAAAATGGTTTTTTAAAAAAATAATAACTTTATCTTAGTCAAATTCATTATGTGCAAAAAAGCCAAAAATGTCCTTAAAAATCAGAACAAAGAGCGGAAGTCTTACCATCTTATTTCCTCCTCTAATGAAAATGGTTACGGCCCTGGAGTTCTTACACTGCTCGATGACCAGCATCTTGTCTTTAGTTGTACCGAATGAGATCTCCTGTACGAGACCGGCAAAGCCCAGCTTCTCTTCCGTGAGCTCCGAGAACCGAGGAACTATCCGCCCGCCCGTGGCGATGGCAATCAGCTAATTGGGTGGGGCAGAAAGAAGGATGAAGTATTAGTGGATACTGGCGATCTTTCAAAACTGGGTGGCAAGTAAGCTAAACCTAATCTAGGACTCCCTTGTCAACAGAATTACTGTACTATTTTTTTTTTTTTTAACTGTTAGTCGTGGGGCTTGAACTCTGGGCCTGGGCGCTGTCCCTCAGCTCTTCAGCTCAAGGCTAGCACTCTACCCCTTGAGCCACAGCACCACTTCCTTACTGTATTATGATGGGGGGAAAATTTCCTGTGCATGGCGAGTACCTCATTAGGTGAACAGATTAAAGTGCTGGGTGTCTTGGTCTCCTCTGGCGCTGCTGGGCTCTCACTGGCATAGCCCTCCCTCCCTCAGCTCACATCCTCCATGCTAGGAGGGTTGTTAGTACTCAGTCACTGCAGAAAGGCAACAAGAAGGCCAGAGAAGAGGACTGGAAAGCTATTGAAGATGCCTTGCTTCTAGCACTTCCGTGCTCTCTAGCTTCTACTGCTCCTCTAACCCAAGCCTCGCATGATGAGGTCAGTTATTTCAGAAGCCTGTGCGCACCCAAAGCTCAGCCCCACGCCCAGGAAGGTGCTCCTGTGGGGCTCCCTACCTCGATCTCAGGTCCTCCAACCCAGCGAACCGCAGGCAGGTTGTTCTGAAGAAGTAAATGATTGGCTTCGTCGTCAAAGCCCCACTGGCAAATAGCTAGGTTAGCACCAGTTTCTTTAATCTGGAAAAGGAAATTCCATAATCATTTTAACAAAAATTAAGCCTTACATGTTACAGAGTTTGGGGGAAAAAAAAGGAGATGCATCTTTGTCATGTAGGTACAAAAAAAAAAGCTGGGTGCTGGTGGCTCACACCCATAGACCTAGCTACTCAGGAGGCTGAGATCTGAGGATCACAATTCAAAGCCAGCCCACTCAGGAAAGTCTGTGAGACTCTTATCTTCAATTAATCACAGAAAAAGAAGGAAGTGGCACTATGGCTCAAGTGGTAGAGTGCTAGTCTTGAGCAAAAGGAGTTCAGGGACAGCATCCAGGCCAAGTTTAAGCCCCAGGACTGGCTGGCAAACAAAACAGAAGCTGTGCACCAGTGGCTCACTCCTGTAATCTTAGCAACTTGGGAGGCCAAGATCTGATGACTGTAGTTTGAAGCTAGCCGGGGCAGGAGGCTGAGATCTGAGGATCACAATTCAAAGCCAGCCCAGTCAGGAAAGTCTGTGAGACTCTTAATCTCCAATTAATCACAGAAAAAGCAGGTGCTATGGCTCAAGTGGTAGAGTGCTAGTCTTGGACAAAAAGGCCCAGAGTTCAAGTCCCAGGTCCAGGAGTGAGGGGCTGGGTGAAGCAGAGAAAAGAGAAAGAGGGAAACACACGAATGCTTATTTTTCTATTGGTTCCAATCTCTAGCTACAAACAATAATTCATGCCAAACCCACTATTAAGAAGCAAGACAAAAGACGTGTCAAGAAAGCCAATGCCCACCCTGTGGGTTTATCATCAACTCTGCCCTGTCCTAAGCACTTAAAGTATTTTTCACTTGTGTGCTTGAAATAAAATCAGTGTTATGACATGTTTTTCTGCACCTTGCTTACCTCACTGGAATGGAACAGTACTCCGAGGATCAAGAAAGAATTGTTTACAGATCCAAAGAGACAAGCAACCTTGCTTTTTATTTTTTTGGTGGTCATGAGGCTTGAACTCTGGGCCTGAATGCTGTCCCTCAGCTCTTCAGCTCAAGGCTAGTGCTCTACCACCTGAGCCGTTTACTGGAGATAAGAGACTCACAGACATCCCTGCCCGGGCTGGCATTGAATTGTGATCCTCAGATCTCAGTCTCCTGAGTAGCTAGGATTGCAGGTATGAGCCACCAGCACCCAGCTCAACATTGCTTCTTAATGAATGATCTGTAGAGCTAAGGCTGGCTTTGAACTCACGGTCTTTTTGTCTCTGCTTCCTAAATGCTGTGGTTAGGAATGCTTCTGGTAAGAAGCACATATCCACTGTGCAAGTAAAGGCCTACAAATGCTTTTTCTCAAGAAGGCAATGTGACAAATAGACCGGCCCTCTCATGGAGACCACTTGAATGGTTTACTGCAGGACCAATCCCCTCCCCTCCCCGCCCCAACCTGGTATCTATCTGCCCTCTAGGAATGCAGGCTGTCAACAATCAACAGCATTCAGTATGCAGTGGTTCTTTCTTAGCCACCTGCAAATGCCTAACCTGACCTATCCAAACTTCCAACTGTCATTTTCTCCTTCAGTGTCTCAGCCAGTACTCCCCTGGCCCAGCTCAGAGGTTGCCAATAGGCTTCAACCAGTCACTGGCTATTCTTATGCAAGCGAGCCATGCTCCTGCCTCAGTCCAGAATGCTTCTCACCAGACTGCACTCTCATTTCCTAGAGGCCTTCTCTGAGCAGTAACTGTTGTTAACAAGAGTTTGGTTCAGTTATACACCAGTGCCTACAATAAAAGGAACCATCAAGAAATAAATGAGCCAGGCACTGGTGGCTCATGCCTGTAATCCTAGCTACTCAGGAGGCTGAGATCTGAGGATCACAGTTCAAAACCAGCCTGGGCAGGAAAGTCCCTGAGACTCATCTCCAATAAACCACTAGGAAACCGGAAGTGGTGCTGTGGCTCAAGTGGTAGAGTACTCGCCTTGAGCTGAAGAGTACAGGGACAGTGCCCAGGCCCAGAGTTCAAACCCCACGACCAAAAAAAAAAAAGTGAATCCAGTAACTCCCTAAGAGAATGAAAAACCTTTAGTGTTTGCTATGATAAATAATGTTCCAACCATCATCTTTGTTCATATACCCTAAAGGTTAGGGCTTAAAATTCCCCAGTAGATTCCCAAAAGGAACTGCTTTGCCAAAACGCAGGCCCATTTGACTCATGTTATTATTTTTATGACTTCACCTGAACAGACTATACTGTCTGCTATTTGTAGCCAAAAAAAATGAAGCATCAAGATGGCAACTAAGGTTAGTGCCACACTAACCACACTCATGTATGAAATCCTGTCGTCCGGGAGTTTACTGTTCACTAAGGACTGCTACTTACTTGGTCAATCATCTCTTCAAACTTCTCCTTTTCGTATTTCTGAAGAGCTTTGTAGTCGTCCACAGAGGTCACATCCAGCTTGTGCTTTGTCTTTGGTTTAGGTGGTTCAAACGGACATGTGAGAATTGCAATCTTAGCATCTTCCACTTTCTATGGAGAAAAAGAAAAACAATTCAACACATTGGGAGTTTTTTTGGTGCTGGTACCAGGGCTTAAACTCAGGACTGTGTGCTTTTGCTTAGCTTTTTGGCTCACAGTTGATGCTCTACCATGAGATATTTCGCAATTCCAGCCTTTTGCTGGTTATTTGAAGAGAAGTGTCTCATAGATTTATCTGCATAGACAGATTCTCAGATCTGTCTCCTGAGCAGCTAGGATTATAGGCATGAGCTACAGACACCCAGCTCCTATCAAATGGATTTGAGAGTAAACACAGAATGAAGCCATGAAAGCAGTGACTTACTTTCGGCATCTGAGGGTGACTGAAATCTTTATCCACAATTACGCCCTTGATCAGTTTGGTGTCCTCCAGCCTCCCGCCCACTTTGCCTTCCACTTTGATGAGCTCAAAGTCAACATCTCTCCGCTCCATGTCGGCCACAGTGAGGACTGCATTCACAGCGATCTCAGCCATTTGTCGGTGACAGCTGTTAACCCTGATAAAAACACCACAGAACTTCTCACATACATTTCACAACTGCTATGACCGGACCAGAACCCATCATCGAATGGAATTCACAGTATTTTGCAAATCTAAAGATGTCCACTTTTCTATAAAGGGAGATTATAGCCTACATTTTCAACCATTTGGGGGCAGTAACCATTAATCTAGACCATGGACCCCAAGAGTGGATCATAATGTGAGTGAAGAAAAATGTTCACTTTTTATTTATTTATTTTTGTCGGTCCTGGGGCTTGAACTCTGGGCCTGGGGCGCTGTCCCTCAGCTCTTCAGCTCAAGGCTAGCGCTCTACCACTTAAGCTACAGCGCCACTTCTGGTTTTCTGATGGTTTATTGGAGATAGGAGTCTCACGGTCTTTCCTGCCCGGGCTGGCTTTGAACCGCGATCCTCAGATCTCAGCCTCCTCCTGAGTAGCTAGGATTACAGGCGTGAGCCACCAGCGCCGGGCATGTTCACTTTTTACTAACTGAAAGTTACCGTTTCCTTAAGGTACACAAAAGACCAATGTAGCATGGGACAAACATTTTAACAATAGTTTCCTAAGTTCAACTAAAATAGGAAAGACAAATCACGCAGGCAAAGTACTAAATCTGAGCTGTTAACACTTGAAGACTGCTGGATAAATTTAGTCCGGAAAAACCACAGGGAAGCCTAGCACTTAAAATGCAATGTCTGACATCTTATGTCATCCAGGAAAGAGAAACAGGGAGCCAAAAATGTCAACATCGAAGCAAAGTATTTTCCTCTGTTTTCATTTGACCACTATCAAGACAATCTGAGCATTTTCTATAGCAAAGACCTATAAATACAGCTGGGTGGACTTAGCGGTAGAGTGCCTGCCTACCATGCATGAAGCCCTGAGTTCGATTCCTCAATGCCACATAAACAGAAAAAGTCAGAAGTGGTGCTGTGATTCAAGTGGTAGAGTGCTAACCTTGAGCAAAAGATCAGGGATAGTACCCAGGCCCTGAATTCAAGCCCCAGGACTGGGGGTGAAGGGGAATGGGGTGGGGTGGGAGAATACAGCTGGGTTATATAAGGGCTCTAATAGACCAGGTTCAGCTTAAACAGCAAGGTTAAGATTCATGTAGTTTAAGTAATAAGAATACCATTTTTTCATGAGCAAATAGGACTAAGTGGGCCAGAGATGGCTCAAGGTGATCCAGGCTTGAGCTGAAGAGCTGAGGGACAGTGCCCAGGCCCAGAGTTCAGGCCCCATGACAAAAAAAATAAATAAAAAAATAAATAAAACAACAACAACAAAAAAATCATTTGTCCGTTAGGCGTGGTGGCTCTCGCCTGTAATCCTAGCTATTCAGGAGGCTGAGATTTGAGGATTGCAGTTCAAAGCCTGCCATGAGACTCTTATCTCCCCAATAAACCACTAGAAAACCAGGAGTGGTGCTATGGCTCAAGTGGTACAATGCTCGCCTTCAGCTGAAGGACGGCGCCCAAGCCCAGGGTTCAAGCCCCACTATCGACAAAAAAAAAAAAAAAAAAAAAAAAAAAAGGCTCATGGACTTTCCTGGCCTGGCTGATTGAACTGTGATCCTCAGATCTCAGCCTCCTGAGTAGCAAGAACTACAAGCATGAACTACTGGTGCCCAGCTTACCATACTTCATTGTTACAGTTATGGCAATTCTGTGTAAGTTTTGATTTTGTGCCTTGGTGACACCAGGGAAGCCCAGCAAATAGAAGGAATTATGCAAACACTGAAATCACCTGGCAAATCAACTAAGACTATCTTTCCTTGGCAGTAATACTAAGATACTTTACATCTGTGTGAAGATTGCTAAGTCATCTCACTGAAAGGTGCTGAATGACAGGCGATGAGGGGGTCAGAGAAAGAGAAATAGAAGGGGTTATTCTCATCAAAACATATGCATGTGTATGCCGGGCACCGGTGGCTCAGGCCTGTAATCCTAGCTACTCAGGAGGCTGAGATCTGAGGATCACAGTTCAAAGCCAGCGCAGGCAGGAAAAGTCAGCTGTGGCGGTAGAGCGCTAGGGATAGTACCCAGGCCCAGAGTTCAAGCCCCACGACTGAAAAAAAAAAACAAACAAATAACATATGCATGTGTGTCGCCATGTACATGGGGAAACTACTTGGTAAAAACACACACACACACACAAGGCCATGCTGGGTATAGGTATCAACAGGGGTGGAGAAGATGAAAAAGGATGGGTGTGGGTGAAGTACTTTATATCTCTATATAAAAACAGAACGATGAGACTTGTTGAAACTGTTTTAAGGGAGAAGGCAAAGAGCGAGGCGAGGTTGACTGTAAATTGCAGGCATGTATGAAAATGCCACATTGAAACTCCCCTACTGTAACGAATGTGTGCTGACAATAAGTAAGTTTTAATAAAAGAAGCCTCTCTCTCCTTAGTATAAATTGAAACTTTGGACTCCTGAATTTGCTTGAATGAAATTTGTAAGCCCTTACCATGACTTCCTAGCTGAAAAACATGAGTAAGTGTCATGACAATTGGCAGAACGACCAAATAGGTCAAAAATTTAAACTACTAAAGTACTATTAAGTATACAAATATTGTCCTGACGATTTAAAACCCAACGGTAAAGTCAGCCTCCAATGAAAACACAAGATGCATATTATCTACATCCACATTAAAAACAAGGGGAATCAAAATCACAGAAACTTAAAATCAATACCAAGCACCAGACAATTGACTGTTGCCTTTAGAAACCAATGGTTCTCATATACAATGTGTAACTGTAACTCTACCAACATGACACGCACACTTTGGAGCCCAGTGTAGTTTTGGCCGTCTGAATCAGGGGTTCGGTATTAACCCTGTCAACAAGGACATTGTCACTGATCTTGTCCAGATGCTCAATAGCAATACGGGCTGCCTGTTCATAGCCGTCTGCAATTCTTATTGGGTGGATGCCGCGGTCCAGCAACTGCTCAGCTTCTTCCAGCAAAGCACCAGCCAGCACTGCAGGCAGAGCAACAAACCACTAGTTTAGGAAAAACACAAACCTTCAGAGTAGGACAATCAATACGAGCTAGAAGCTACCCTGGAAATAAACCAAACAGACTATTCTGAAAGGGACTCCATCCCCACTTTTGGTTCTGGTGAAGGTCTAATTGGTGGGTCTTCCCTTATAAACAAATGTTACTTCTCCCTGAGTGACATGTTAACTAGAAATATAATGTTAATATAATGATATGTTAACTAGAAAATATAATATTGGAAGAATAATATATACACATATATATATGTATACACATATGTATTTTTTTGGGTCAGTTTTGGGGCTTGAACTCTGGACCTGGACACTGTCCCTTAGCTCTTTAGCTCAAGGCAAGTGCTCTTGCCACTTGAGCCACAGTGTCACTTCTGGTTTTCTGGTGGTTTGGACTTTCCTGCTTGGGCTGCCTTTCACCACGATCCTCAGATCTAAGCCTCCTGAGTAGCTAGGATTACAGGCATGAGCCACCGGTGCCTGCAAGAATAGTTTTAAAGGAAAAACAAACAGTATTCCTGGGCTAGGGAAATAATGAAATAAAAGACAAATCTGTCTTTTTAATTCACTCTCCCTCCCGTCTTCCTTTCCGCTCATTTTGATGTCTGTCACACAAGTATGTATTTTTTGTTATGGTATGAGAGGCAAGCACTGTATCACTTGAGCCATACCTGGAGCCCAATTGTTCTTATTTTGTTTTTTGAGGTAGGGCCAGGATCAACTTTTCTAACACTGGTCTCAAACCCTCTGGATGGGTGGGATTACAGACATGCACCACATGCCAGGGTACAGTTGGTCGGGAGGGGGACCAGTACTGGTGCTCTGAACTCAGGGTTCCATGCTCGCAGGCAAGCATACTATCAGCTGTGCCTCACTTGTAGCCCTTCTGGCTTATCTCATATGCTTTTGCCCAGTGCTACCTACAGACTGCCACCAGGTCCTATTTTATTTGTTCTTTGTTCAATCATTTGGGAATCTGCTGCAGAAAGTCAGCATTCTGTATTTTAGCATGTAGCCTGAGAACCAGGGTATTCTCCAACAAAACTTCAATTTAACAGTAATACCCAGGACACTTAGCATTGGTCCTACTACATACTACATAATCAAGTCCACCCACTTGTCTCAAACATCCTTGAGGGGCAAGGAACCTTTTTTATGCAAGAGCCAGTTGGATATTTATAACATTCTTTGTGGCTGAGTGCTGGAGGCTCATGCCTGTAATCTTGGCTATTCAGGAGGCTGAGATTTGAGGATCAAGCTTCAAAGACAGCCCAGGTAGGGAAGTCCATGAGATTCTTAGATCCAAAGAAACACCAATAACTTATAAATGGAGCTGTAGCTCAAGTGGCAGAGTGCTAGCTCAAGGAGAGCATCCAGGGCTTGAGGTTCAAGCCCCAGGACTGGCACACATCAACAAAAACCCCCAAACATCTGTGGGGCATACACAATTATCAACACAGCCCGACAGGCCTGGAGCAGCTGAAGTGTAACATTAGGTGCCTGTGGTGCCTGTCCCGCCACACACTGAATGACTTCCAGGGCCAGCTGCTCCCTATCCCTTCTTTGTAACTCAACAAACTGACCAGTCCCAATCAAAAACTGCACATTATCACTGGCTGTCCTGTCATATTGTTTAATGCCCTCATTTCCTCCAGACTTAAGCTTTGAAGTCTAGACCACTTGTTTTGGATTTGTCCAACCCATCCTCATAATGATTCAGAGAAAATACTACCCTGTGATTGATTTTAAATAGCTGTTATCTTCCACTGACCCACTCAGTTACTATGGATAGTAAAACTTGAGTGCAGGCTGATGTGTAAGTAGTCTGTGTAAAATTAAAACTTAAAGGGTATTTTATGTTCTTACCAACCACTCCCGTGGTTCCATCTCCAATTTCATCATCCTGGGATTTCGACAGTTCAACCATCAGCTTGGCAATTTGATGATCCACATCCATCATGCTTAGAATGGTGGCGCCATCATTGGTCACGGTCACGTCACCATCCTTGTCCACCATCATCTTATCCAGCCCTTAGAAGACAACAATGTTTAGGTTTCTGGGCAACCAATCCAAGAAGTTGTTAGAAAGATACACTCCTCCATCACTTATCATCTTTACACTATTAGAAACAAATAATTCAACAGCATAAAAAAATTCTGCATTAAGACATTCTTAGAATGGCTAACCAAAATCAGCACATTGGAAAGAGTTATCTGGCTAAACCTCAGGGGAGAAAAGGCTGAATGCACATTATAACTTTTAACAAGCCTGGAACACACTAAATACCATGTCTGGGTCAGAGTAGCTTCACACTTCCTCCCTGCACATTTCTAACAGATGCTTTCTTTTATGAACCCAGAGCCTTATGAATTGTAGAAAAGTAGTCTACAACTGAACTAAAGCCCAAACCTCCCTCCCTCCTCCACCTTTCCAGAGGCTGTATTGATTACTACAATTTAAAACTTTAGTTAAATACATAGGGCTCTTACCATTTGGTCCCAGTGATGTTCTCATTGTATTCGCTACAGCCTTTGCAGCCATGATGTGAGACTAAATGAAACACCGAAAAAGCAAATATTCAGATTCAAATTATTAATAGGAGATAGAAGATGGGGAGAAACAAGTCGTTTAAGGATACAGGTGGTAGACCTGATGCAACTATGAGAAGTACAAGTTGTCATGTCAAACACGAACTTTACTACTTTGGTGCGGAGCGGGGGGGGGGGGGGGGGGGGGGTGGGGGGGGGGGTGGGGGGGGGGGTTGGGGGGGGGGGGCGGAGGGAGGCTGGGAAGGGATGTGAAGGGTAAACAAAGGAGGAGGCTGCAATGCTTGATAAGAAATGTACTCATTATCTTGCCCATGTAATTGTAACCCCTCTGTACAGTATGCTCACAAAACATAAAAATTAAAATTAAATTTCTACATTTAGAGGCTATATATCTAAGTGCTGTTAACATTTGCAAGTTCTATGAACCAAGTTCTTTGTATCATCTCATTTAACAGCAAGGTGGTAGGTCCTTTCATAATCCCTTTGACAGTAAAGAACACAGACACACCAACCATAGGTCTTGCAGAGTCTAACTGTAAACATGCAGCACCGTGAACTTTGACACCAAGGCCCACTGTACAAACAGTTTCCTCGGCCAACAGGATCTCCACACAGCCAACCTTGCCTGCCTAAGTAGTATTGAATAGTAAACAACTAATGAGCAGGGATTCTGAGGACACACATCAGGTAGACTGTTCTGTTTACCCCGCTTATTCTTTTTTTTTTTGTCTTTTCTTTTTCGGTACTGGGGATTGAACCCAGGACGTTGCACTTGCTAGGCAAGCGCTTTGCCACTGAGCTACATCCCAGCCCAACCCCCCTTATTCTTGTGCCTGAAATCTTCCACATGTTTGAAATTCCAATTGGAGCTCAGAATTAGCCATCAGAAATACTAGAGTAAATTATCTGGTATTCTTCTCACTCCATTTAACTAAGTGGCAGGTGCAAAATATTATTTTTTTGTGCTGGTACTGGGGCTTGAACTCAGGGCCTGGGCAGGTGCCATCACTCAGCATTTTTGATCAAGGGCAGTATTTTACCACTTAAGCCACAGCTTTGCTTCTGGCTTTTGGCTAATTAACTGAACTGGACATAAGAGTCTCACATTTTCCTGTCCAGACTGGCTTAAGCCATGATCCTTAGATCTCCGTCTTTTGAAGAGCAATGATTACATGCACGAGCCACTGGCAACCAGTTACAAATTATGTTATAAGGGGAAAGGAGAAGTAGATAAAGCAATATGGCAAATAGGAGAGATACCAAAATACTGTTTGCCTTACAGCTTGGGAAAGTGGAAATCTTTCTTCTTTTTATAGACAAAATTTAAAGATCAAGGCATCATGGTTCAGTTACAGATTCAGTAAGATTCATGATTCTGTATGTATTGGTCCTGGAGTGCTTGAACTGAGGACCTGGGCACTGTCTCTTAGCTTTTGTGCTCAACCACTTGAGCCACAGCTCCACTTCCAGCTTTTCGGTGGTAAACTGGAGATGAGTCTCATGAACTTTTCTGCCAAAGCTGTCTTTGAGCCATGTTCTTTAGAGCTCAGCCTCCTGAGCAACTACAATTACTGATATGATCCACTTATGCCTGTCTCTAAGATTTTGTTGGCTGAGGAAGGCATTTAGCTTGCTTTGTTTTGAGTCAGTTTTAGAACATGACCCCTTAATAAACCAAGTACTGTATGTGTATGTGTATGTATGTATGTATGTATGTGTGTATGAATATATATGTACAAGTACATATCCTTACACCCAGGGCTTCAATAGCACTCAAGTGGGCCAACCTTAGAGAAACAAATGCTCATGAAATTGTCCAAATAGCCTTAAAGCCTGATTTCCACCTTCTAGGAAAATCAATGATAGCCTCACTACAGGTTCATTACTTTGTGGGGAAATTCTCCTGACAGGTTCCGTCCACTAAAATTTAGGCTAATGGCAACAAAAACCTGAGTAACCAAGCTTGAAAAGATCTTCCCTGCTCCCAAACATAACTAGGCTATTTGCTCCAAAATAGGCTCCTTCCTTTCTTTTCCACTCTTGCCATCACCAACCCAACTGAGACCCAAAGCACCCTCTGGAATGCCAAGATATGTTTTGTTTCACTCCTCTGATTCAGGTTCACCAAACATCTAGCTAGCCAGATTCTCCGCAGATATGCTCAAGTTGAAGAGCGCCACCTTTGTTTTCAAAGCTCTTCACATCCCAGACTTAGCTTCTTTTTGGGGACAACAGGCTGTGACTGTTCCTCAAATATCTTCTCATTCCCTCAGAAGTGATACACAGAAAGCTCCCCACCCAGCAAAATCCTGAGCAAACCTGGGTGGCAGTACTGAAGTATGAACTTGAGACCCACTCTTACGCTCACAACCAGTGCTCTATCATTTGAGATTCATGTCCAATTCTGACTTTTTTGCTAGTTAATTGGTGAAAAGAGTCTCAGAATTTTGTTGTTGTTCAGACTAGCTTCAAATTAAGATCCTAGATGTTAGTCTCCTGAGTAGATATGATCATAGATGTGATCTATCAGCTTGAGCTGTGAGCCAACCTTTTAACAATTGGGTGCCAGTGGCTCAGTCTGTAGGTGGTTCGAAGCCAGCAGGAGCAGCACATCCAAGTCCCTGCCTATGACACTCATCGCTAAATAATCATCCAAAAGATCAGAAGTGGAGCTGTGGCTTAAGTGGTAATGCTAGTAGTCCTGAGCAAAAAAGCTGAGGGAGTGCCCAAGCCCAGTATAAGCTCTAGTACTGTCATCCCCCCCCCCCCCCCCCGGCCAGGTGTGTGTGCGCGCGCGCATACACACACACACAAACACACTAGAAACAACTCAAACGTTCAATAATCCTTATTTGATACCCCATTTATTATGTTGCAAAAGACACAACTAGCAGGGGACTGGTAGCCTAAGCCTACAGAACTCAGGAGGCCCCTGTCTTTTGCCAGTCCTTGAACTCAGAGCTTGGGCACCATCCCTGAGTTTCTTTTGCTCAAGGATAGCTCTCTACCACTTGAGCCACAGCACCACTTCCAGGAAACAATAGAATTTTAAAGAGGATAATAATCATAGGCAAATGTTTCTTGGGTTGGGGTCAATTTGTTGTCTCCCAACAGGACAATGTATGGACACTGGTTAGCAATGTCAGTAAAGTGCAGTCTGACTACACTGTTCCAGATCCCTACCTTTGACTCAGAAATGGACTTAGACCACCACTGTGCTCTTTAGTAGCTTTGTCTAAGTTCTCAACTACTCTGGTTCTAAGCGTTTGATTCTGAAAACTCAACCATTTCAGAGTGAGGGTACATGCAACAACCCATAATTAACACAAAATGGCGGCTGTAATGATTTTTATTATTATTTTTTGCTGGTCCTGAGGTTTGAACTTAGGATCTAGGTGTTGTCCTTGAACTTATTTTGCTCAAGGCTAGTGCTCTATCACTTGAACCACAGTGCCACTTCCAGCTTTTTTCTGTGTACTTTACAGGACTTTTTTTTGGCTGGGCTGGCTTTGAACCACGATCCTCAGGCTTCAGGCTCCTAAGTAGCTAGGATTACAGTTGTGAGCCACCAGCTCCCTCCTGGCTCTAACTTTAACTTTTTATGTATGTACTGGGAGTCTGTTTAGGTGAAAAATGAAATTGAACATGTAATGCAGATAGCCTGCAACTTCTTTTAGCCCTGGAAAACAAACAGATACTGATTATCAAGACTCAACTACAGTGTGGTTAATTCTTCAAATGACCCTATTAATTAGCTATCAAGTCTTCAGCATGATGAAAAAACTGCAATGTCTTAAGTCTGAGGACCTCTATGATTTCTAAACCAGTTTAAGTAAAAACCACAAGACACCAAATAAAGAAGCACATTTCAGATCTGGTGCACATATGTGTGGGTGATCCATCCAGCCTTCATTCCTTCTCTAGCTTTGCACCGACTCAAATTCCTTTGCCTTCCTTATCCCTTTTTTTTCCACTTTGTATCAAATGTTGATTTGCTCTACTTAAAAGTCTGCTAAAAGGGTTGGGAAGGTGGCTCAGTGGTAGAGTGCTTGCCTTGCATGCATGAGGCTCTAGGTTCGATTCCTCATCACCACATAAGCAGGAAGAGCGGGAAGTGGCACTGTGGCTCAAGTGGTAGAGTGCTAGCCTTGAGCTGAAGAGCTGAGGGACAGCGCCCAGGCCCAGAGTTCAGACCAACAAAAAAATAAGTCTGCTTAAAACCCCAAGGTCTTGACTTCTATGGGGAGCATTCATGAAGGAACGATTATAGTCTCCAGTACCCAGTGATGCACTGGAACCATCACACTGTTCCTCCACTCAACTGACCGTCCTGCGTGTTCCTGCTCAAACGGTTCCATCTCTCGAGGCTCCAGCTCTCGCCTGTTCAAAAATATTGCCCTTGGGGGCCTCCTCTTTCCTGCCACTCACTCGTCCTTACGAGTTTTCTACCTTGAGGAGTAACGCTAGTTTTTAGGGCGCCGAGTCTAGGGGTGCACCATTCGCAAATGCACTCAGGGATAGGAATGGCCACATCTACAAAGAAAGAGACAAAGAACACGTCCTTCCCCTTTGGGGGTTGCTGAGAGCACAGCAGGTGGAGATCAGCGCGTGGCCGGGCCAGGCGGCCGCGGCTCCTCCCGGAGCGCGGTGCGGTGCGATGCGGGGCGGGACCCGGGCAGGGCCGGCGCGGTGCGGGGAAGCGGGAGGCTCCTCCGGGAACCGCAGTGCGGCCGCCCCGCCCGGCTGCGAAGGGCGCTCGCGGCACACCCTAACCCCCCATCGGGCTTGGAAGCGCCAAGCGCGGACCCCGACGCCCGACGGGGTCCAGAGGACTCCCCGAAAGGAGGAGGTGCTCGGCCCTTGCGGGCAGCACATGGCAGAACCGCTCCCAGGTTCGCGCAGGCGCACAGGCGCTCCGGCGGCCGTCTGCCTACATTCCCAGCAAGCGGGCCCCGGGCCGTTACCTTGAGGGCCTCAAGTCCCATAAGACGAGACTTGCGGTCCTGGTCCTTGATGATGAGGAAAGGGCGCCCATATTCGTCGAAGGCGAGGGTCCCCACGGACGTCATGGTGCAGCAGCAGGAGTTACTAGCCCAGCGCCGGCAGAGACCACTCCCGGAACCGCGAACGCGCCGCCTTCTCGCGGGAAAGGATCCAGAGCGCGCGCATGCGCAGTGCAGCTCCCGCGAGACTTATTTTTCAACGGCGATTAATTTAACGCCAGACAGTACTTTCTGGAAGCGCCGGCCTTTGGAAACTTCCATCACCCAGAAGGCCGTAGGGGGGAATTCGAGGCCGGAACTCCTCGAGCCCACAAGTCTAGCACTAATTTAGCCATGTCGTCAAACAATATAATTTGGGCCTTGTGCTGGGGAGGTCTCACTGAGGACCTCGTTGGCTCGCGACGCTTTCCCACCCCGACTTCGAGACGATGGTAGAGCCCACTTCCGCTTCCTGCCCGGAAATCTCGCGATGGAAGGAAGAGGAGGTGAGGCCTGGCCGGCACGGCCGCTCTCGTCGGTCGTGGGAGGGTGGCGCGGGCTCCGCTTGGAGCTCGCCGCCGCGGCCGAGCCCCCGGGTCCGGCGTCGGGGTGCGGCGAGCGGGCGGCTGCTGTGGCGTGCGTCCGGGCGCGGCGCCGCCTCCCCTCGGGGAGCAGGGTCCGTCCCTGGGCCCCGGCCGGCTCCGAGCGCCGGCTCCGGCGGGCCCCCCGCATGGCGGCTCTGGGGGACCGCGCCACGGGGCGTGGGGTGCGCCTCGCCTCGCGCCGGCGGGGCTTAGCCGTGCCTCGGTTTCCCCGTCTGCCTCTCGGGGCTGTGGCGGCGCCTCGGGGGCCTCCGAGTTGCACAGATGGCCCGGTGGCCCGCCCAGGTGCGGCCAGTCCGTGGCGAGACGTCGCCCCTGAGCGCCGTGCCGGCGGGGCCGCAGCCGGCGCAGGTGTGCGGCCGCGCGGGGGTCTGACCTGCACCCCCAGCGGCACAGTACCGCGTCCCCCGCTTCGCCACTGCCTCTTGGTCTTGTTTTTTAATAGCCTGGGGCGTACTTGGTGTGGGTTTCCGAGCCTTTTCAGCCTCAGTGGCCAGGGGACAGGAACTTACCCCCGCTGTTTCCCGTGTTTATTATCTACTCGAGAATGTTGGCATGAACGCACAGCTGCTTGGCTCTCAGACTCGGTCCGGTTGGTCGATCCATGAATCCTCCTATTTAACCCCCAATATGTGTCGGGCTAGAGGCTAGCTGCACATGGAATCACACCATCATGTACCGAGCTCAAGGCCTGGACGCCATCCCGGAGCTTTTTCTCTGGAAGCCAGCGTGCCATCACTTAAGCCACAGTTCCCCTTTGGGCTTTCAGATGGTTAATTGAAGATGAGGCTTGTGAACCAATATCATTGAGTTTATACTTTTAGCATCTAGCATTTTAGTCACTGCCTTTAGCTTCAGCTTCAGATCTGTTCTTGAAAATTGCCCTCTTAGGTTTTATTTATTAACCAGAAGGAGGCACCTGAAGCCCGGAGACAGTATGAATTAGTTAACCTTGTATTGTCTTTGACTTTCACGTAGGGACTCCTAAATGCTCAATGAAAAGAGTGGCTACTGCAGCTCTTATTTCACTGTAGTTTGGCGTTCCAAAGAGTACACCTGGCAGAAGTTTCTTGCCGTTTATGTGTATTACAGTAAATAGTCTGTCCAAGCTAAACAAGGATAATAAAACAGTTACAGAGCTGGATGCTGATGGCTCATGCCAGTAACTAGCTTCTCAGGAGTCTGAGATCTGAGGATCGTGGTTCAAAGCCAGCGGCAGCAGGAAAGCTCTAAAGACTCATCCCCATTAACTACTAAAAAATAAAGCTGAAAGTGGAGCTGTGGCTCAAGTGGTAGAGCACTAGCCTTGAGCAAAAAAATCTTGGGGATAGCACTCAGGCCAGGCCCTGAGTTCAAGCCCCAGGACTGGTACCAATATATAATATTTGGAACAGTCTTGACTTTAATTTTGAATGTTCAGCGACTAATTTTCATTAATAAAAGCAGTACATCATTTATCAAATGGAGCTTCTCGTTCATTGGACATTGGGTTTACATAGTCCTCAAAAGCCTAGGCAATGGGTACAGATTTTCTCTGTAAATTTATGCATTTGAAAACCATGCAGGCATAAAAAGTTGAGATTTAGTAGTTTTTGTCAAGGCTGTTGGTTTTGCCTTTCTTACTTTAAGAACTGGGGTTTGAACTTAGGGCCTCACGCTTGCTAGGTTGGTGCTATACCACTGATGCCATGTCTCCTGTGCTCCTTTTGGCTGATTGTTTTGGAGATGGAGTATAGCAACTTTTCAGCCCAGGCTGGCCTCAAACTATGATCCTTTAGCTTATAACCTGAGTTGGTAGGATTACAGGCATGAGTCATCAGTATTTTGCTTTGACATTGTTTTTCTTCACATATTTCAGTGGCTTTGCATAAAAAGTTCAATTTTAGTGCTTACAAAGTGAAATGTACACTTCTGGTATTCATACACCTGCCTTTTACCACTGTTCCCTGCTCTTAGGTCCACTTCTGGCTTTTTGTCAATACCTACTGGCCCTATTATTGGAATTCATCTTCCTTCTGTATCTCTCCATATTCCCACTGTGTTGTGTATAGTATATCCTTTCTCACAATCTGACCTGAATCTGCCTCCACTGGACTCTACCACTCAAGCTGGTGGCTACATGGTAGCCTTTATGTATTTCGCTGGTTTCATGAGAGGTTTTTTTTTTGGTCGTGGGGCTTGAACTCTGGGCCCGGGCGCTGTCCCTGCGCTCTTCAGCTCAAAGCGAGCGCTCTACCTCTTGAGCCACAGAGCCAATTCTGATTTTCTAGTGGTTTATTGGAAATAGGAGTCTCACGGATGTTCTTGCCTGGGCTGGCTTTGAACCGTGATCCTCAGATCTCAGCCTCCTGAGTAGCTAGGATTACAGGTGTGAGCCACCGGCGCCCGACTTCATGAGAGGTTTATGTGTGCATAGGTGAAAAAGAATTTGGATCATCTGACTTGAGTATATTTAATGAACTCTACACGAATCAGTGAAAAGTTTTGAATATCCATTCAATGGAATATTCAGCCACAAAAAGCAATAAAGTACTGATAGAAGGTACAGTGTAGATGAATCTTGTGGCCGTTGGACTAAGGAAAAGAAGTTGATCACTGGGCCCTGTTGGCTTATGCATGTAATCCTAGCTACTCAGGAGACTGAGATCTGAGAATTGCGATTTGAAGCCAGCCAGGTCAGGAAAGCCTGTGAGATCTATCTCCAATTAGCCACCTGAAAACCTGAAGTGGAGTTGTGGCTCAGTGATAGAGCGCTAGTCTTATCCAGAAAAACTCAGGGATAGTGCCCAAAGCTGGACATCTGACTGAAAAACAAGTTGATCTCAGAAGGCCACATACAAAGGGATACCACTCCTGTAAATCTGGACTAAGTGACTACAGACAGTAAGGATTGCTTAGGGCTGGGGGGCAGAGGGTTGGATGATGGCTAGAGGCTAAGGGGGTTTCTTGTGGAGCTAATGAAAATGTTCTAAAGTTGACTTGTGCTACAATCTTGGAAATGGTGGCTTAGTCATACAATAGTAGCTACTTTGGTGGCTGAGAACTGGAGGATAGTTCAAGGCCAGCCCAGGCAGAAATTCATGAAATTCCTTCTCTCCCTGGCTAGGGTCTATGGCATGCCTGTCACCCCAAAGTACGTGGGAGGCTGAGTGTGGGAGGATCTCAGTGCCAGGCCACTCAGAAAAGACTTGGTGAGGTCTCTGTGAAGGGAACTGGATGCCTATGATCCCAGCAATGACAGGAGTCCTGAAAGTGGGTGGATGGGCCCAAGCGCAGGCTGGGTAGGAAATCAGACCCTGTTCTAAAAAAAACAGCAAAAAGCAGAGTTAGAGGGGTGTCCCTGTGGTTTCTAGCTAGTCTAGGAAGTACAAGGCCCTGAGTTCAAGCCCCAGTTCTGGCATATGCACACACATAGGGTACCAAGATGGAACAGCGGTTCGTGGTCCAGAGCCAAGGAATGTAAAGCTGGTAAATACCCTAGAGCCTCTAGGAGGTAGTCAGCCCTGCCCAACCCATGTAGAATCTGCCCTCCAGCATTGAATGGGAATAAATGGGTGCAGTGTTAAGCCAGGAAGTGTGTGGCAGTTTCTTTCAGCAGTGTAAAATGAGTACAACTAGTGTTTTTCATGATTTGCTGATAAGCTCTGAGCATCATCATCCCCTCACCTTTTCCTGTTAGCTATGGTTTCATGTCCACTTGGTGCACTGCTGCTTCAGGACCAAGGTGCTCTGGTTTTCTTTGGGGTTCAGCCTGGCTGCAGCATTGTGTACATGATAGCAAACAGACCATGTGGAGGCTTTCCTTGTTCAGAATATAATAGATGACACACTCTGCTTTCCTGGTGTCTGGACCTACACTCATTCTGTCTTCACAATATCCCTGCGAACCCACGTTATAGTCACAGACTCAGCAAGGAGAAGGGATTCCCGGTCACACTGTTAATAAAGGAACAGAGGTGGCATCTTAGCCTGGGCTGGCTCGCTGAGAATCTGCGCTGTGTTGTCATTAATTCTAATATCATAACATAATTTTCATATCCCATTAAGAATGCGTTTTGGAGGACAAATGCAAGAGGAGAATATTTAAGGTGACATTCATTTCTCTGTAATCAGTGATTAGAGTTCATGTGCTTTATTCTGTGCTTGTGATAGCTTTGTAACAATTTCTGTTTTGCATCTACTTTAAAGACTGTGGCCACACTTAATGAAAAGTTTGGAAAGACCTGTTTGTGTGTGTGTGTGTTTTTAATTGTCTTTAAGGAGTTGTACAAAAGAGTTGTACAAAGCAGTTTATGAATATAATGCATCTTGATCAACATCACCCTTTTAACATTCTCACCCGTCCTTCTCCAAGACCTACTTTTTAAAAAAAAATCTTCTGTTATTTCAAAATTGCATTTGGACAGCCAAATTACAAATGATAGAGAAATTTTGGTGTACTTATTTGTTCTTCATTCAGAACACAAAACTGGTTTATGGTTAAAATATGGACTAGTGGATATTGAAATGATAAATTACTAGATAGTCTTGAATACTCTTAATGTATCTTCAGGATGATTCCTAGACACAAATAAAATCAATAATTGGGAAGAAAAGATTTCACTTTTCTGTTAGTAATGAATGTTTCCAAATCACTTTAGTTTTGTAAGTGGAACTTACTTAGAATTCATGAATAATTTTATACTTGTAATTTTGGTTTTATTCAACTAAACTGTCCTTTAAAAGTATGAATTTGTTAGTAAGAATTGTAGGAAAAGGGGTTGTAGATTAGCTCAGGGGTAGAGTACTTACCTAGCATGTACAAGGTGCTGAATTTGATTCCTAGCACCAGCGGGGACGGGGGTATGGGGGGGTGGTGAGGAGGGAGTAAAAAAAAAATACAGCCTTGGGTTTCAGATGTGAGACTACATGCAATTCTGTTTGCTTTCAATATAGGTACAACTACCCCAGAAATGCCCCAACAAGAAGAACCGATGACATTTCCTCCTACTAGTTTGGAAGTGGAAGGCCACAACTTGAAGAGAAGCAATTGGGGCATTTTATGTACTGGGATTGTTGGGGGGGCTCTAGTGGCTGTGTACGCTATAGCTACACCATTTATTACGCCAGCCCTCCGAAAAGTTTGTTTGCCTTTTGTACCTGCAACCTCGAAGCAGATTGAAAATGTCATGAGGATGCTGGGACACAGGAGAGGCTCTCTGGTGGACATTGGCAGTGGTGATGGACGCATTGTGAGTAATGCCCACGCCTGGTCGGGTTAGGAACCAGAATCGACACAGTGTCAGCTTACATGCACCAGACCTTGCTATTGTCGCCATTTTTAGGTATCCATTCCAGTGTATTAGGTGCCTTCACATTGAATGTTCATTCACATAACCAGCACCACCACCAGTCTTAGAACTCTTTTCATCTTCAAAATGGAAACTAAATTTATTAAAAAGCAGTTCTTGCCGGGGCACTGGTGGCTCACACCTGTAATCCTAGCTACTCAGGAGGCTGAGATTTGAGGATCATGGTTCAAAGCCAGCCTGGCAGGAAGGTCATGAGATTCTTGTCTCTGATAGACCATTCAGAAAACCAGAAGTGGTGCTGTGGCTCAAGTGGTAGTGCGCTAGCCTTGAGCTGAAGAGCTCAGGGACAGCGCCAGGCCTAGAGTTCAAGCCCCATGACATCCCCCCCCCCCAAAAAAAAAAAATCAGTTCTTTGTTCCCTTCTTTCCCTCTGGCAACCACTAGTGTAGATTCTTAAGATATTGGGTAATAGGCCAGGCGCCTGTGGCTCACACCTGTAATCCTAGCTACTTAGGAGTCTGAGATTGGAGGATCTCAGTTCAAAGCTAGTCTGGCCGGAAAGTCAGTGAAACTCTTATCTAAAATAAATCACCAGAAAACCGGAAGTGGTGCTGTAGCTCATGTGGTAGAGTGCTAGCCTTGAGCTGAAGAGCTAAGGGACAGCACCCAGGCCCAGAGTTCAAGCCCCATGACTGACAAAAAAAAAAAAAAGATTGAGAAATAGATATGTTAATCAGAAGGAAGGTTTTTATTTTTTTGAGACAAGGTCTTGCTATGTAACCCAGGCAGCCCCCCTCCCCCCCCCCCCCCCCAGCTCATGAATGGTGGGATTATAAGCATGTGGCACAATGCCTGGTTAGAAGGAAGGTTTTGAATATGCATTTGAATTCTTCCCATATTCAAACAGTACTTTTGTGGCTTCTAAGAAGATAATTTCCTTGTGGCATTGTGTGGCTTGGGAAGTGAGCCACAGTGCCACTTCCAGCTTTTTCTGTTTATGTGGTTCTGAGGAATTGAACCCAGGTCTTCATGCGTGCTAGGCAAGCACTCTACCACTAAGCCACATTCCCAGCCCCTGATTTTTTTTTTTTTTTTAATAGTTTATCGGACATAAAAGTCTCGGGGCTGGCAAGGTGGCTCAGTGGTAGAGCGCTTGCCTTGCATGCATGAGGCTCTGGGTTCGATTCCTCAGCACCACATAAGCAAAAAGAAAAAAGCCGGAAGTGGTGCTGTGGCTCAAGTGGTAGAGTGCTAGCCTTGAGCTGAAGAGCTGAGGGACAGCACCCGGGCCCAGAGTTCAGGCCCCACAACCGGACCCCCCAAAAAAAAAAAAGTCTCACAGAATTTCCTCCCTGGGTTGGCTTTGAACCTCCCTCTTTGTATCTCAGCTGCCTGAGTAGTTAGGATTACAGGTGTGAGCCACCAGTGCCAGACTTCTCTAGTTTTTGTAATTGATTCACACTATCATGTACAGCTCTTGAGAAGCTGTCTGATGACTTTTTTTGCCTGGGCTGACCTCAAGCAGGGATCTCAACCATCTCAGCCTCCCAACTAGCAAAGATTAAGGTATGAGCTGCTGGCATCTATATGAGAATGTTTTGTTTTGTTTTGTTTTGGTCAGGGGGCTTCAATTCTGAGCTTGGACACTGTCCCTCAGCTCTTCAGCTCAAGGCTAGTGCGCTACCACTTGAGCCACAGCGCCACATCTGGCTTTTTCTATTTATGTAGTGCTGAGGAATCGAACCTAGGGCCTCATGCATACGGGGCAAGCACTCTACCACTGAGCCACCTCCTAGCCCCGAGAAATATTTTTTTAAGTGGTGTCTTCAAATGCAGTGCTTTTTGACAGGTTGTTTTAGGATTATAAACCATAAGTAGGAAATACTCATGTTATTTGGTAAGGTCACATGTAAGATGACTTTTTCTTCTTTTGGACAAATCCCTCCTTCTCTTCAGGTGATAGCAGCAGCAAAGGAAGGCTTCACAGCTGTTGGTTATGAATTAAATCCCTGGCTAGTTTGGTACTCCAGGTACCGCGCATGGCAAGAAGGTGTGCATGGCTCCGCCAAGTTTTACATTTCAGACCTGTGGAAGGTATGTAAGGCAGAAAACTTGGGTGAAAACTCTTAAATTCACAATTAATATGACTAATGACTGATAAGTGTATTAAAACATTGAAATCTGAATGGATATTTTGAAATAATGAAATGCACACATATTTTAGACTTTTTATTTGTTTTGGCCAGGGCCTAGGTGCTGTCCCTGGGCTTCTTTCCCTCAAGGCTAGCACTCTACCACATGAGCCACAGCACCACTTTTTGGCTTTTTCTGTTGGTGTGGTTCTGAGGAATCAAACTCAGGGCTTCATGCATGCTAGGCAAGCACTCTACCACTAAGCCACATTCCCAGCCCTCATGTGGAACTCTCATAAATTATTCTGGGTACCTGTTTGACCCTTCCAGGTATGTGAGACAGATAATTGAGAAAAGAAAGAATGTGCTAACTATGCTCTTGTGGTTACTTTTTGTCCTCAGAGGATGAGATACTTGCAAATTTATCTGTACTCTAAAACCCTGTAATTTTGCTTTAGGAAAACTCCATAAAATGCTTTTTCTTAAATAAGAATTTTTCATTGTAATATTGCCATCAGTTGCTTATAAAAATCCACTTGCGTTTTACTTGCATTTTTTTTTTTTATACCATATATAAGTAAACAGTCTCTGTAGAGTAAGTAAGACTTTTATTGGGCAATAAGAATTTTGACTGTCGAAGCACTTTTACCCCCAGTTTGTCAACTGTTGAAGGACTATTTTATTGCACTTTCTACATAGTGTTTTAGAGAAAAGGTAAAGGATTAGAATTCTTACTAAGGATGGTGGTCGCACACAAAACTGGTGGCTTTGAAATCTGCTGAGTTCTTGCAAGATGCTTTGGTGGAGTAGCAAAGGACCGTGTGACTCAGTGCCAGGGATGGCCAGCAGTTGGTCACTGGGAGTCCTTGGCCATTCTGACACAGGACCTGAGGCATGCCCTACCTGCTGTCCCCTTGAGGACAAAGTGACATGTGTTACAGGGATGCTTTTGGGAGACTGGTAATTTGTATTAGTATAAGTGAAAATGGGGACAAGTTGCCTTTTTCTTTGTGCCATCTTGAGGAGGAAATTTTTTTTTAGACGTCTATAAAAGCCCACCATTGGGCAGAATGGAAAGTTCACATCTGTGAAAGCAGTGAATGTCTGGCTTTTTAGGACTAATCTACTCATTGTTTCCCATCTCATTTTTAGGTTACCTTTTCGCAGTACTCAAATGTGGTTATTTTTGGCGTGCCCCAGATGGTGAGTATGTTCTCCGGTTCTCTGTCTGGGCAGGTGGTGTCACAGGCCCCTCAGCACCAGTATTCCACCCACGGGTAGGGTGATGATGGCCTCCTAGAGACTCTGAGGACACTTGGGGTTTCAGGTCATTGGCTTAATAAAATACTACAAGTCCTTAAAAGTTTAGTCATAAATGATTCAGTCATATTTTCAAACTTTTGTTTCAGATAAAAATCTCATAATCCTTAAAATTTCCCAGTTTGAAAACTGCTTTATGAGGTCCCAGTGTCGAATGTAGTTTGCGATTTTCATGGCTGCTCACTTATACCCAGCCAGAATCACTTGGGGAAGTTAATGGGATGTTCCCTTTGAATTGATCATTCCTCCAATTTTGCTAGAAGATAATTTTCAGGGTGGATGAGCATTGACTAGTTTCAATTTGCCTCAATTGACTGATTTGCCAAAGAACTGAATATTGAACTTTGATTATGTACTTTCAAAAGTGAAAATGCCACAGTATTGTAGTGAAAATGGTCCTCTATAGCCTTTAGAAAGATGGTCAGGGTGGGATGCTTTTACTGTAATTGCTGGCTTATAGACCAAAGAATAAATCCCTTTTTACTCTTCAAAGTCTGTAATGATAGCTATAATAATCTTGGCAGAATTGGATGTTTGCTGAAATGGCACTATATAACTGATATGATTTTAAGTTTTAAAAAGGAATTTTGTTTGTTTTGCTTTCTTACTTATACCTTAATTTTTATAGAAGATGTTTCAGTGCTTAAGAAATGTACGGTTATTATTGGGAATTTTAATATAATACCATGTTCTTTAAATTTAAGAACAATTTGGAAATGCCTCAGTTGTACATTCTTGAAAGTGACATAATTTTGTGTGCTTGTGGTTGATATTAGGCCTGAGATAAAGGTCAAACTTGGATACCTATACTTTTGTCCTAGAAGTAAAGACAGATTGGAAGCATGGTTCCTGGTCCTTTGAAAACAGCTTTTGGGATCATAGACTAGATGCAGAATTTTGATGGTGATTTACTATTTATTAGAGTATTTTAGTTTTCATTCTAACATGGAATAATTAGTATTTTGAAGACAAGTAACTCTTAAGTTCCACATTTTGTGAAAACAGAGAGTTACTATTTACCAGGATTTCCGTGTTCTCTGGAGAGACAGGATATTTAATGGTGTGGATTCTGAAACCATACTACCGTGCCCCAGTTGGGGGCAGCAGGGGCCTGTGGTAATGCCATGGCTACCTAACTTGTCCTGGCCACAGTGCTTCCTGCTGTCAGGTCTGAGACGCACACATGATTTTGAGCTGTTTCCTTAGCGGTGGTGAGAATCTGGTTATTTTAATAAGTGCTTTTGCAATTACTGCCTGTTCTTCTGTATATAGACACCTCATAAGCAAGGAACTTAGAGAATCCCAAGGAGAGCAGGGAACAGCTGAAATACACACAGGGACTCTCATTTTCTGTAATAATAGAGATTCAGCCAACCTGTTTTCCATGTTAGCGGGTTCATCCAGATGCAGAGAGCACAGCCAGCTTCTGTTGGTCTAAAGGGCCCACTTTCAACTCTCATCAAGCTTTGCCTAAGAGGAGGTAATGGGGAAGGCGGTGAGGAGAATATGCTGGCTGGGAAGTTGGAGGCCCGGTCTGCCCTTCAAGAGTTGGGTGCCCCTGGAAAAGTGCTTTCTCCCTGTTTGGGCCTGACTGTGTCATGCATCTATGAAACTGTATTCCCATTCTTTGGGTGCTGGTCAGCATTCCAGTCGTGGCTGGATAGCTCAGCAAAGCTAGCATCTGTGAACTAATTCCCGTCGTGTCTGATGGAGGCTGGTGACTGGATTGCCAGGAGGAGCCTTCGGGAAGTAGAGCAGGACACCCTGCTGTTGCAGTCCTCAGCCCTGTTTCTGATGCTCTTCTTATTAGGCCTAACAGCTGTGTGCAGTTGTAGCAGACAATGGAGTTACCACATCACACTCATGTATCAAAATGGCATGAGGAGTTCATGGGGGTCTGGTAAACCCACCACTAGCACGGCAAGTATCCTCATTAACACAAGCCTAAGGCTCTTCAAAATCAGAACACATCATCATTACTCTTGTTTAAATCCCTTCTGTGAGAATGGGGTTCCCCATCCTCAGGTGAGGTACTCTGCTCTTCTTTGCCTGCTGCCTCCAACAGGCTTTGCTCTGTCGCTGTGCTGTGAACCTAAGAGCTCAAGGATCTGATGCTTAGCCGTCTGTGCTGTCTGGCCTCTAGCATGGCATCACTGGGCACAGAATAACCACTCAATGAGTACTGTTTGTTTTTATGGTACTATTGGACTAAGTGCTTTGATCTCTTACTTGGCTTTTGCTAGTTATGGCAGGTAATCTACCACTTGAGCCACATCTCCAGTTCTAGCTTTTTTTCTGATTTATTGGAGGTAAGAATCTCAGATTTATCTGCTTGTGCTGGCTTCAAACCTCAGACTTCATATCTCATTCTCCTGAGTAGCTAAGAATATAGGCAAGAGCCACTGGTGCCTGGCTCAGTAAGTACTATTAATTAATGAATGTGATAGAAATACTTTCCCTAGAAGGCTAGTAACTTTCATAACTTAAAAGAATGACTGATTTTAGTTAGGAATTCTGATAAGAGTGACTCCTGACTGAACAACATACCATCTTTCCTTTGTTCCTTGGGAAAGTATGAGCACTGTGACTATTTGGAATATCTCAGTGAATAACAACACTTTTGCCTGGAGGTGCTTTGGTACTATTGGGGAGAGAACATAGTCAATGTAGAATGTATCGTACAGTCAAACAAAATGAGTCCTGCAGAGTAGTTGAAGCAAAGGCGGAGTAGTGAGGGAAGGAGCCGTGCATGCAAGAATGGTCAGCAAAGGGCAGCAGTTGTGAAAGGGCTGAAGGGCATGTGTGTCTGCTGTGCTTGGGGAGCAGGAAGCACACGGGAGACCAGTAAGGCTGGGCAGCACGAGGGATGAGAGAGGCCTGAAGGATGGATGTGTACTGTTGTTGAGGACCAGGCAGAGAACTCTCCAGAGCTGAAAAGAATCACAGGTTACTGCTTGGAGCTGACCTGGGAAAACCTATTGGAAGCCAGGAGGGAGGCGCTCTTGTAAGTGTGCAGGTGACTGATATTGAGACTTAGACCAGAATAGATGAGCGAGTGAGAAGAGATCAAATTGTGGATGATGCACTGTAAAGATGGATGGTTAATAGGCAGATCTAGTGTGAGAGAGGAGTCCAGGGCAGCCCATGATGTCTGGCTGAGCTCCTGGCATTGGAGGTGCCAAGACCTCACCTGGGAGAGGCGCAGGTAAAGTTGACTGAGGAAGTACAGTATGGGCATGTGAAGTCTTGAGTGTATGTGGGCCTGGAACACTGGGTAAGAAGTCTAGAGAGAAGGTGGTGGAGAATGAACATGTTAGCCATCAGTGCACAGATATGAGGAAGCCCAGGAGAAAGATCGCCAGGATGAGCAAAGGTCTCAGAGAAGAGTCATCCAAGGCCTAGGCTCTGTGCTAACATTTGAGGTGTGAGAAATTAGGGGTGGCCAGTCAGGGACTCGAGAAGCGCCTAGTGGCACAGCTACCTTAATGGCCAAGGGGAGCATATGAGGTCATGGGTCAGTGTTGATCATGGTCAAGCCTGATTTGTTTCATGGCTTCAAGCTGATTCTAGCTTGTGTTTAAAGCTTTGAAGATTCAACTAGAATATGATGAGTTTGTGTCACTTTGGAGCCTATAATTATATGAATAATGTTGAATTGTATTAGACAGGCATGACACATCACTGCTTCTTTTTGTGTATGATATCAAGAACCAGACTCATTGCATATTTATGTGTAATTTAGTCAGTTCATTTCTCATGATTGAAATAGCTCCTTTCATTTTTAGGTTTATCTTGACTTAGCATGTGACAATCATTTTGAAATAAAAGAAACAATAAAAGAGAAAAGAATAATAATAATGAAAATACGCTTACAATTATTTTTTTTTATGAACCAGATTTCCATAAGAAACCTTTGATATTTTGAAGAAGCACATATTGTCTCGTCCTTTGCTTATTTAATTTTCTCTCAAAGAATAAAACTTTAAAAAAAAACTTTACTGGCTGTTAGAAAAATAGAAACTTCCCATCCTTAATAGAATTTATTCTTTGTTATCTTGGTATTGATTCTAGTGATGAATTAGAATTTTGGCTTACTCCAGCAATAGTCACGTGGAGGAATTTTTCCTAGCCACTTTTCTAAGATGTAAGTAAACAACAAAACCTCTACAAGAGCATTATTGATTTGTTTGTCTTGCTTTAGTTGGAAACGTGTGTGTGTGTGTGTGTGTGTGTGTGTGTGTGTGTGTGTGTGTGTGTGTCTGTCTGTCTGTCTGTCCGTCCGTCCTGGGGCTTGAACTCTCCTGCTTTAGTTGGAAACGTGTGTGTGTGTGTGTCCATCCTGGGGCTTGAACTCTGCCTGGGTGCTGCCCCTGAGCCTTTTTTGTGTGTGTATGCTCAAGGCTAGCACTCTACTCCTAGAGCCATAGCTCCACTTCCAGCTTTTTTGGTAGTTAGTTGAAGGTAAAAATCTCACAGACTTTCTTGTACATGTTGGTTTTGAACTGTAACTCTGAAATCTCAGCCTCCTAGGAGGCTAGGATTATAGGCATGAGCCACCAGTGCCCAGCAAGTTGGTGACTTTTAAAGGGACTGGGGAGTAGTTTTTGCCTAGATCTTGGTTTCTAAGCACCATTTTTTACTAAGAAGAACTAAGAATCTTTGAGGAAGGACTGATCCAAGGCAGGAGAAAGGAAGATACACCTGGAACATCTTATTGAGCCAGAATATAAGGAAGTACTCAAAATATTTTATAGGAATATGTCTGAAGGATTGAGAAGCCAGTTGGAGGAGGTTTTCAGTGGCCAATTTAGGACAATCTGGGCATTAGAATAAGCAAGGACATTAGTGGATTATTACCCACTGAATGAGTAATAATGTGACTGCTTATACCAGGTAGTTATGGATACATAGTCTGAGGGAGAAAGGAAAAAGGAAAGCTCTTTCTTACAGTATAATGATAGTTATACATCTGGAAGAAATAATGGAATTAGAAAATTGCCACTTTGTAGTTGCTATAGTAAAAATGGCTTCCAGTCAGAATCATCAGGGAAGGCAACTTCTAGTGCAGGGATGGTCTAATAAGTAATGATGTTTAAGTCATCTCCAAATTTCTTCCCACAAGCAAACTTAATTACTGCATTGTGGAGTTACTGTATTGACCACAAATTGCATGGTTAATACCATCACCAGGAGCAGAAGAATCTCCTGGGCTTCTGGAGTCTTAGTAAGTTCACAGATGCATAGCTGTGGCATTGCCAGAGACACACATGCACCTAGCACATCAGGAGTACATACCAGGGGATCCCAAAATAGGGTTCATTTGGTTCTTTGTCAGGAAAGACAAAGATAGAAACTGTTTCAGATAAAAAAGATTAGTGAAATGCTACTACCACTAAATGCAAAAACTGATCCTGGACTGGATTCTGTCCTGAAGGAAATTCTATAAAACACTATTGAGCTAAGGAAATAATTGGAAATGAACTTTACAACTTGGGGTGGGGGGTGGCAGGGAGGGAGGAGTTGGGGAGGTGGGGCGGGAAGGGATGGTAGAGGAAAAACAAAGGAAGGGTAACAATGCTCAATAGGAAATGTACTCATTACCTTACTCATGTAACTGTAAGCCCTTTACAATAAAGAATATATATTAAAAAATAATTGGAGTATAATTGGGATTAGTTGGGATACAATGCTAGGTTTCCTGAATATGAAAACTATGCTGGGATTATGTAAGAAATTTTCTGTTTCTTAGAAAATACACCCTAAGGGACTGGGATTGTGGCTTAGTGGTAGAGTGCTTGCCTAGCATGCATGAAGCCCTGGGTTCGATTCCTCAGTACCATATTAAAAAAGCTGGAAGTGGTACTGTGGTTCAAGTGGTAAAGTGCTAGTCTTGAGCTCAGGGACAGTGCCAGGTCCTAAGTTCAAACTCCAGGACTGGGAAAAAAAAAAGAAAATACACACTGAGGCATTATTGAAATAAACATGGATGTAAAATGCAATTACTTATCAAATAGTTTAGAAAAAGAATTCAGAGAGATAGGAATAGAACAAACAATAAAAAATGACAAAATGTTAGAAATTGGTGAATTGCGGTAAAGCTGTACAGTTCTTTGCAACCTACCTATAAACTTCACATCTTAAACTAAGAAAGTAGAATTTTAAAAGTATTTTTAGGGGCTGGGAAGGTGTCTCAGTGGTAGAGCGCTTGCCTTGCATGCATGAGGCCCTGGGTTCGATTCCTCAGCACTCCATAAGCAAAAAGAAAAAAGCTGGAAGTGGCGCTGTGGCTCAAATGGTAGAGCGCTAGCCTTGAGCTGAAGAGCTGAGGGACAGCGCCCAGGCCCAGAGTTCAGGCCCCATGACTGGACCTCCTCCCCCCCCCCCAAAAAAAAAAAAAGTATTCTTAGGATATGAAAGTATTAATGTATTTTTAGGAACTACAGACAACATTTAAAGCAGTTGTTAATTAAAATGTCAATATTTCTAGCAAATGTTAAAATTGCCTCATTGGTAGATTAATAATAAAATGATTTAAAAAAGGTATGTTAGATTGTCCAGGAATTCATTATTAAGGCTGGAGAAGGTGTAGCTTCGTGGTAGAGAGGTACCTAGCATGTATGAAGCCCTGTACTAACTCATCAGTATTTTATGACATTTAAAAACTTAGGAAATATTTCACAATATCTATACATGTTGATACAGTATGTATGTGTGTGTGTATATATATATATATATATATATATTTTTTTTTTTTTTTTTTTTTTTTTTTTTTGGGTCCGATTGTGGGGCCTGAACTCTGGGCCTGGGTGCTGTCCCTCAGCTCTTCAGCTCAAGGCTAGCACTCTACCACTTGAGCCACAGCACCACTTCCGGCTTTTTTCTTTTTGCTTATGTGGTGCTGAGGAATCGAACCCAGGGCATCATGCATGCAAGGCAAGCGCTCTACCACTGAGCCACCTTCCCAGCCCTGTATATATTTTTTTTATGGCCTACCTAAATCACATTTTATTGACTGTGTATGTTGTTGACATTAAAGTATACCATTGCTGTTGGGGAAAATAATATTGCCAGTTATAATCCTAAAATAATATAAATTGTATAATGTATCCCAGTGTTGGAGATACTAAACATGTTGGAAATTGTCTAAATTATATGACACAAAGTATACTAAAATGTTAGGTGACTAAATCTATTATCACATCATGGTTTTAGTTAGAAAACTGGAAATCAGGATTGACAGTGCTAAAACTAGCACATTATATAATTAATAATCGGTGATATTCTTGCAACTGCTGTTAATGTGTCTTTTTGTTAATAATTTGATAATGTATTTGTGCCTTACATGGTATTTTTTCTAAGTATTTTAAGAAACTCAGTAACTATAGAAGGGCAACATGGAATAATTTCTCTGTCAAATCATTCACTTAACTAATGGCTGCTATTATTCTGCACAGATGCTGCAGTTGGAGAAGAAACTTGAACTTGAACTTGAGGATGATGCAAGAGTCATTGCTTGCCGGTTCCCTTTTCCTCACTGGACACCAGACCACATCACTGGAGAGGGGACAGACACTGTGTGGGCCTATGATGTGAGCACTTTTCGAGGAAGGGGAAAGAGCCCTGAAAATTGAGCACCTTCCATTGGTCATTCAGATAGAAGCCTCACTAAAAATCTTTTTCTGAGTAAAGATTTCATAGATACTTAGAGCTGTGTCCTCAGCTAAAGATTCTTACTTACAGCTGTAAGCTAAATACACAGCTGTCAGTGAACATGTTTTTCTTTAATGAAGAATGCAGATCACTATTCTTCCTGTAGCTTCTAGAGAAAACCGGAGTTAAGAAAACAAGTAGACTTAAAATCTACTTTCATTGGAATATTCCAATAAATGTGCTGTCTTTTCATATACTGGAATGCATGAAAATGTAAATAAATATGTCCTGTTTATGGATCAGAAAATGTCAACAGCTTTTTACATTATGAACAGTATGGTTTAATACTACAGATGAGGACAAATTATTTTATTTATTTATTTATTTATTTATTGGTCAGTCTTGGGGCTTGAACTCTGGGCCTGGGCGCTGTCCATTAGCAATTCAGCTCAAGGCTAGTGCTCTACCACTTGAGCCACCGCCCTACTTCTGGTTTTCTGAGTGGTTTATTGGAGAGAAGAGTCTCCTGGCCTTTCCTGCCTGGGCTGGCTTTGAACTGTGGTCCTCAGATCTCAGCCTCCTGAGTAGGATTACAGCCGTGAGCCACCACACCTGGCGGACAAATGATTTTTAAATAGAGTATGTATTAGGAAAAATTTGCTGTTTTCTGCAACTTCATATGTAAGATTTATCTCTTTTCTATACTTTATAGCAAAATTAATTTTCTAAAGGACTCAGAGCTATTCATATTTTATAATATTTATAAGGAATAATTTTCTCCAGGGCTAGATTGTTGTTTAATTGAAGATATGTATATGTATACAAGTATATATATGTGAATGAGTGTGTCGAAGTTGTGTTATAGCTTTAACTGGCAGTGTTGTACCTCTTGGGGTAGCTGTGCATACAATTGATAGCATCTTGAATTTGGTGAAATTTGGGATTTGGAAAAGATTCCTAACACCATGGAATAATTAGTAAGGCTTAATAATAAAATAATGATTGTGAGCTTCACTCGGAGTCTGGCCTGGGTTAAGATCTCTGCTCTGTCCTCAACAGGGGTCCTTGTACAACACATTATTGCCTCTGAGCCTTGGTTTTCTGCATATCTCTGCCACTGTAGATAATGACTCACTGAAATTTGCAAAGCTCACAACACATAGTCTTTGGTTCAGTAAATGGCATTCAGTATTATGTTAGACACTAAGGAAAAGCTTATGCATGGAAGTTGCAGATTTCTTTTCTTCTTCTTCTTCTTTTTTATTTTGGGGGGGGGGTACTGGTACCAGGCTTTGAACCTGAGGCCCTGTTTCTTAACTTTTTAGCTGAAGGCTGATGCTCTACCATTTAGGACATAGCTCAACTTCTGGCTTTTTGGTGATTAATTTTGGAGAAAGAGTCTTGAATATTTTTCTGCTTGGGATGGCTTTCAGCTGTGATCTTCAGATCTCAGACTCTAGGTTAGCTAGGATTATAGGCATGAGCCACCAGTTCCTGGCTTGCATATTTCTTCTGCTAATGTGTTTTGATTTTTATAAGCAGCTGTTTAATATTTCTCACTTATGAAGACAGTCTTGACTGATTTAGATAAAAGACAAGGGAAACTTTTGAATAGATAAGCTTCATATTTCTAGAAAATGAATATTGAGTGATGTTTCAGATAATCTACTTATCACAGAGAAGAATTGAACTCAGTAATAAACCCGTAACCTAAATACCAAACTGTCCTAATGAAGACTCAATAAAAATAATGATTGTATCTTTAAACTGACAAAGATATGGTCAACTTGATAATTTGTATGTAAATGAGAACTATTTGGGGATATATTCATTTAGTCAGTCATTTATATATGCTTTTTTTACTCTGTAAGGTCTATTGGTTCAGGTTAACAGATGTACCAGGCCCCCATGGATTCATAGGATTTCTATTTTGGAAGGAGACAAATAAGAAAAGAGAGAGAGAGAGAGAGAGAGAGAGAGAGAGAGTGTGTGTTTGTGTATTGGTGGTTAATTGGAGATAAGAATCTCACTGACTTTCCTGCTCCAGGAAAATCTTAAATCTTAAACTTCAGATCTCAGGTTTCTGAGTAGGTAGGATTATAGGTATGTGCTACTGACATTTGGTTTTTCGTTTTCCTTTCCATTTCTCCTTCCCTTCCCTCCCTTCCTCCCCCTCCTCTTTCTTTCTTTCTTTCTTCCTTTCTTTCTTTCTTTCTTTCTTTCTTTCTTTCTTTCTTTCTTTCTTTCTTTCTTTCTTTCTTTCTTTCTTTCTTTCTTTCTTTCTTTCTTTCTTTCTTTTTCTTTCTTTCTCCATCTCTCCTTCCCTTCATCCTCCCTTTCTCCTTTTCTTTTCCCTCCCTTTCTCCCCTCCCGTCCCACTTTCTCTTTCTTTTTGTGGTACTAAGGATTGAACTCAGGGCTTCAGGCTTATCAGATGGGTATTCTACCACTTCAATCCAAATGGCTCTCCTGTCAAACCCCAGTGCAAATACAAACATAGATTTTAATCATCTAAGCTGCTTTTTTGAAATTGGACTGTTTGGACTGGCTTTGAGGAGCAAGCCAGGGTTTTGGATGGATGCTAAAGGGACAAGAAGTTTAAGTTCAATAGGAAGTATACTCTTAGAAAACTCATTTAAGATGATTGCCTGTGGATTAGCATGTCCTTCTCCCTGGAGATGTGGGCCAGAGGCTGCCACTTGGTGGAGATGTTGCAGAAGGGATCGGCCACAGCAGCAATGGAGTCCTACGAGGACCCAAAGTGACCGTGAATTTTCCTGTCCTAGCAGGACTGCCAGCATCCTTTGAGCGGACCTCAGCCTCGAGGCAGTCTTCCGAGACAGACGTTTCACACAGCCCCACACAAAACCACACAGCCACAGACATGAGGCAGAGATGGCTACTTTTCACTCTGATACTAGGAAGTAGTCAAAATGTTGGTAAGCTGATGAATGAAGGTGCATGGTGTCAGCACAGCAGCCATGAAGAGTCCTCAGAGAGGAGAGCTGGACTTGGGAATTCCAGAGGATTTAGCTAGAACAGTGTTTGGAACCCAGAGTGGGTGTGTGTCAGTACTGGTAATTCCTTGTTGCTTTAGTGACACTGCTGCACCTTGTCACAGGAGCAGCTGGGGCCAAACACTCCCCAGACCTCCAGTGGACCTCCTCAGATCGGGCATCTGAGTCCAGGCCGACTGTTGGCTGGCCAAAATAAAGCGGCTGGTAGAAAACTGAGATGGGTACTCAGATGCCATATCAAGGATTTAAACTAGGTGACAGAGGAGTCAAAGGTCCAAGGTGGAAGAGAGAGGAACTGCAGCAGTCATGAGAAAGATGAGGCAGAACAGACTTTTCTGAGCAGGCCATGTTTCTGAAGGGGCGGGCTCGGCCAGGGGCCTCATCCACCTCCATGGGCAGGCGTCTGCAGCAGAGCCTGCAAAGAGTGCTGAGCCTTATCTGGCCCAAGTAGCTCTCCAGATCTGCTCAGACAGAGACCCGTCATTTGAAGAACTCTGCTTATAAAGAAGGTAATTTTATGACCAATGAAAATACTACTTTCATTGCAGGTATTAAGCAAAAGGAACAGAGTGGGTTGTATATTTAAACAGAAAAATGGTTATTTATATAAATGTAAGAGTAGCTACACCCAAATAACACAATAAAGTTTCTCAGGTAAACAAATTTCTATTGATCTGAGAATCCTCTTAGACCTTTAGACTGAGGTGCTCTGTAATAATGACTCATTATGATTGTGACTCTATTGGAATTGGCACACGTGGGACTCAATGAACTGAGGCAAATTGAACATGAACAAAGGGTCATATAACTTTTATAGGTGAGGGAAATTAGATGTCTTATTTTTCTAATTTAATATTACAGTATGAACATTATCCTGGAAGGATTGATAAAACAATGGCTCATTGATCACTAGGTTTAATTCAAGGATGGAAGGGAGGAATTAGGTTAGTTTTCTTCTCTGTCGTATTGCAGGATGAACAATTGGGCAGCTGAATTATGTCAGAAAAAAAATATGTATCTCCAAAACTTGGTGGATAGAGCCTCGTGGTGAGTCTGAGAGTTTTCTGCAAGTAGAGTTTTGAAGTGCTTTTCATGTGGGATGTAAGTTAAAGGAGAGAGGGTGTGGCAGGAGGCAGGAGGCTGAACCCTGGTAATGTGTAGCCAGCAGCTGGCTAAACTGCACGATGGTAAAGCTTGAAGGTTGCTGGTGACCGTCCCTTCTGCTTCCTCTATACCTTGTCCCTGGTACTTACCCTGATCATTTTATCACATGGTTTTTGTTCATGTATCTACTAATCAGTATTAAGGACATTTTGCTGTTCTCAAGCACATTTGCATTTTTAAAGAAACCCTGTAATATCAATTTAGCTTTAGTAAGACTGGAAGAGATCAATCGTCCTGGAGAAGTGTCAGGATACTTGCTTCCATCCTGGCCCTTATCCCATCCCAACCTGCCTACCAGCACAGTCCTGGCATCTCAGAAAGGCAAACCGAAGTCACCATAAGTTTTCTTTGACTTGGAAATGTTAGAAATGTTAGGGATGTATAGCAATTTATAGTCTGGGTCTGTGACAAGGATAGCTCTGTGAACTGACTGTCCACCATCCTGTAGGTTTTTACAAATATTTAAACATATTCTACCAGGCACTGGTAGCTCATGCTTATAAACCTGCCTGCTCAGGAGACTGAGAGCTGAGGGTCGTGGTTCAAAGCCTGCTCAGACAAGAAAGTCAGTAAGACTCTATCTCCAATCATCATCATCATCATCATCATCATCATCAACAACAACAACAACAACATCAAAAGTTCCAAGTGGAGCTTTGGCTCAAGTCCTAGATTGTGAGACTTGAATGAAAAAGCTAGGGTTGTTACCCAGGCTCTGAGTTCAAGCCCCAGTACTGGCACCAACCCCCCCCCCCCCCCCAAAAATGTGTTCTCATGGTAACTCTGCAATGAAGGTATGACACTTTTGGGTGTATTTGGCAAGGCACATGCACTAATTAGTAAGGAGAGAAGTTGGGCTGCCTGATAACTAAAACCTGTATATTCTCCTCTGTTGCACCTTTGGGGACTGGAAAAGCTTCATCTACCATTGAGTCTATCCCAGGTCCTCAGCAAGCTCTGATATTAGCAGCATTTGTGTAACTCCAAAACTTGGGCTCTATGCCTCTTTCGGTCAGAAGCCCCCCTATTCGATAGGCTCAGTGTGGTCTTTGATGGGAAACAAAAGTGAGAGA